AAAATCACATATTAACCCATCTCCTCTCAACGAAAGAGGAGAATCATAAGATTCCCTCCCATTAGTATCATCAGCTGTCCGTACATGACTCTGAGACTCTTTAATCCCTCCTTTTGTCACCTTTGTGACACTCACCCTTCTTATTTTTTAATGTGCATGAACTGGTTATGTTTGCAGGAGGCAATAACAGCAGAATCCTATTATTTACAGGATATTACTTCTGCAGCATCATTTCACATTTACTTCAGATATTTATGTAGTAAATGTTATACTGAACATGCATGCTAATAAACATTTCACTGATCACTCGCTTTCAACATTTTTGTTCACATTCATTACAATAATGGCTAGACTGTTGTGTGTCTATGATTGCACATAAAAGAGCAATGAATATGTCACATTTACCTGAAGAATAAGCGAAAGTTAAATTTCAAGTGCAAGGATCAAAAGCTCAAAACACTTTAGAATACATTAGAATATATTTAAAACTTATTATTTTTACCAAAGAATTCCCCTATTTATAAAGCCTTATTGTGTTAGAATGTTTCAAAGCTTTTCACAAGTAATTAATTGAATTAAAAGTAATTAAATGAATACTGTCAAGTGTAGGCAAACACCTAGGAAATTATTTGGGCCAACAAAGTCCCACAAACAGCTGTTAAGGTGAATGACCAATTAACCTAGAGGAAAGTTGACCAGGATAGCAGAAGAAATTCCCTTCTCTGTTCAAATAGTGTTACGGGATCTTTAACAGTTACTAAGGGAACATGTTCAACACACAGCATGTAGAGACGGCAGGCTTCGCTGTAGACTGGCTCCACACCAACTGGTTTACATTTCTCCTAATCTCTCCTCTTTACAAAACCACTCAACATCATTCATCTTCCTTTTGCTGGGAGGATGACAAAGTGGCAGATTTCTTCAAGGCTTTTCTGAGCAATGCACCGTAATGTTTAGCCCCCAGCAGGCATGCAGAGAGAGTCTGGCATTAAAGCATTGAAAAGACTTAAGTCTGGGACTGACATTGATAATAGTTGTAATATGTCCCTTGCATAAGTCCTATTCACAGAGCAATTAAAATTACCGACATCCTGGGTTAATTCTCTAGTTCTGCCCCCAGGATGTCTGTAAAACAACCCAGTACTTAGGCTGAGAGAAAATCAACTACAGTAGTAATGTGGTCTACAGTTGGTGAAGTAATTATTAGTGGTTTGACTGGCTGCAGGATTGTAAATAAAATGAATGGTTCAGGTTGCTTTTTTTTAAAAAAGAAGCGCTTGTGGGTGGGGTGGTTTGGATACTCTTAAACATGGTAAGTGTGTTTTTTGTATGTGTTGGACACATGGCTGTCAAAACAAAATAGGATCAGGCAGATAACATGCCAAAATAGAATCACTAAATCTGGAACAGAGATAAGTTCTTTAGAGCTAGGCTTCATCCAGAAAGACATGAAACATAAACAATTCACATGAAAGACAAACTTGACTCGCCCCAGACATGTGTTTAGCCGATCGAAGTCTGTTTTGAACAGGCAGGACGTAAGCGTAAGTAAATTATACCAACTATAGCTGTTTCATTTTATATTAAGTGTTCCAAAAGTCAGGGGTTCAAAAATTAGAACTTAACTTTGCATTTGTATGTATTTGTTCAACATCTCTTCGAGGCCATGTTCACATCGCACTGCAATATAAACACTATAAAATGTATTATGCAGTGTGCTTAGGGATCTGATATATTTGCACCATTTTACTGAGATATTCAGACAGGCCTTTTTCTGTGTAAAATTATTTGATTTTCCCAGGAGACAGTCAGTTCAGATTGCAACAGTGGTTTACAGGGAATACTATTTGGGTATATTATCTGCCTGACTTATTTTGTTTCCGCCGCCAAGTGTCTGACACGAACGAAAACCCATGACCATGTTTAAGAGTAACCAAACCACCCTGGGGCTTTGGCTTACAGTGAACAGGAATTAAGTGAGAAAAATCCCTGTCCCCCACTGGTCTGCTCCTCCACGGCCTGCCGATGAGCTGTGCTGTCATCAGCATTGCCTTTGAGTACTGTGGACCAGCCTGGCTCAGGAACTGGACAACTGGGACCACCACAGAGGGCTGGCTCAGTTCCAACATTCCTTTGCCAAACATATCACCTTGGAGCCAGTTCAACTCTAAGCAGATCCCACTCCAAGGAGATCCCCTCCCTCCCCTCACAGAGGGTAGTCCTGATTCTATTTATTCTTTAATAGTTAGTGTCCAAAGTGTAAATATAAATGTGAGGCATTTAGTGAACCCTAGTACGTTATTTATAGAATTGCTTTTTTTTTATTATTATGCTTGCTTTATTATTAATCAGTAAAGTTGTGCAAGTCCCTGTGTACAGAACTGTTTTCCAGGAAGCATAATTTTCTAAATACAGCATAGAGAACATGCATTTTTCTAGCACTGTATCTTGTTAAAATATCTCGAAGCACTTCACAAGTAAATTATTGTTAAGGATCATACTTAAATTTCTAGATACAATGTAAAATTAACAACAACAACTTACATTTATATAGCACCACTCACATAGGGTAGCAGACCAGAGCCCTTGAAATAGGACGCTATTCAATAGCAAGGTGGACAATGTAATTCCTACAAGGCTCTAGCACTTCTTAATCTCCTCAATCTTCGGATAAATTTAATAATGAATGACATGTCACTGAATGTCCTGCATTTATAAACACTGGACGATGCTTTGAAAGGAGGATGAAGCTGGGGGGAAATCCAGAGAAGCCAATTGCCATATGTGCAAATTGAAAGAATATTCCAAATCACAGCAGTCCATCAGGCAAGAAGAATTAAAACACTTTTACCTTTTTGAACGAAATTGAATTTGGGTGTTTACGTCTTAAATGTGCTGCCTACATTACATTTTAACTGTAAGCAAACATTGACCTAGATGTGCATCATGCTCTTTGGCAAATCAACAGCCATACAAGTTGATGCTGAAAATAGGTTGATCTGGATGTAATCCAATCTAAACCAATCAGTACAAGATGACACAGGATTAAATCCAAAAGAAAAAAAGTCTCCTTTTCACATGGCACTGTGAAGTGTAATTACTGAGAATTGGTATAAAAGCGCAGCATCTGATAGTGGGTTCAGGTCTAGATCATAGACTTTGAGTTCATGGTCTTGACTGAATGCCGGGCTAACCCTCTGTTGTTGGACGTGCCTTCCTTTGGATGAGACATTAAACCGAGGTGCCATCTGCCTGATTTAAAGAACCAGTGATTTGGTTTGAAAGGAGAAGGGAGTTTCTCTCGGTGTCCTAGCCAGCAATCCTCCAGTTAAATTGATCATTCACCTTTTGATTGTATATGGGACATCACTTGGTGCAAATTTGCTGGCACATTGGCCAACAAATACATGGTTACTACACTTAGCAGCAGAGGGGTTTACAGATGAAGCATCTTGAGAGGTTTTCATATAATACAGCGTTATTTCAAATGCAGGGATTATTATTGTAACTCTGGTGAGAAAAGAACAAAAAAGGGACACCTGTAAATGGTAAAGTTTAGGTATCCTTCTGGTTTCTGCATTGAAGTGCTACTCAAGAACAAATCTATTTATTAGGGCATAAAAGCAAGGCAATGCAAGAAATTCACAGCAGGATAATCAACATTTGAAAGAGAGAGAGATCATCACATCTGAAAGGTAATCCATTCTTTCTCATTTTCATGTAAATACTACTACTAATAATAATCCTTGCATTTGCAATAATAATCCTTGCATTTCGCCTCACTGAATATACTGTAAAGTGGATTGACTGGGTATTTTGTGGGCGAAAAATATATCTATTCATAAATAAGAAAACAAATAAATTAGTCATGAAAATTACAGAAATAAATAAGTAAACAAATAAATGAGTGAGGGGTGGGGGGGCGCAACTGAGCTTTAAGTTGGGGGTTACCAGCCTTTTCACTTCATGATTCAGTGGCTAGTAAAGCGCTAATTTTAGCCGATTTGCTGACAAGTTCCATCTGGAAAGCTGGTGTCTGTCTGTTTGGAACTTTTATGGGTGCGAGACTAGTTGGCACCAGTCAAATCGCCTTGTCAGATACCCCGCAAGAGGAGAGCCTGGGAAAGCTCTGTGTCCACAGCAGGCAGGCAGGCTGACATAGACAGAGAGACACACACACACACACACACACACACAGACAGTCTGTGCCCATTTTTTCACTTCACCCCCCAAAACCAGACAGGAAGCTCTCTGCTTCCAAAGCGACAGACAAGGATACTCCCACACTGTCGTACAGTATCATCTACCACACAATGTTAACAAACTCTAATTGACAGATGATTAAAACAAAATAACACAAACCAGTGGGTCATTTTCACACCAATTTACCTAAACCTGGAATAGTCCCAACTCTAACTCAAGAATGGAATTCTAGTTATTAAACAAATACGATTGTTGTTTAATTTATAAAATGGATTTTATTTGATTATTGATCTAAAAGCCATAAAAACACATACACACACACACACACACACAACATTTTCAGGTGCAGGTGAGAGTTTCCTCTGAAGGGCATCAAGTCTTCTTTGGAATATAGTAGTTATTGTAGATTCAAGGATTATTCTGGTTATTTAGCTGTGAAGTGAAAGGGGAAGTAGGGCAGTCTGCAAGTGGAAAATCAGCCTAGAGACACATCACTCTTTTCATCTGTGATTATCTGTTATTTCTGGTGAAATAAGGACGTGGGGAAAGTCCTCAGATATAGAGAGCCAGAGAAACAAACATCTAAACTAGGACACGCCTAACATTGCTGGGGATTTGTGGTGTTATGTTATGACAAATAGGAAATGGGTGGGAGGGGGGAATTCTACAACGTTCAAGCGACCTAGACGTGTTGTAGTGAAATATTCTGTTCCCAGTGTGTCTCTGGGGTTTGGGAATCCTTGATCCAAAAGGCTCTGGTGGTTTGTTCTTGACCGACATTTGTGCCAAAGAAATCAATGGCAAAGTCAATGGTATTGTGGTTTACCTTTCTGAGCTGCTTGAAGGAGGTGATACCTTTGTTTTGTCCAGATGTGTGTGAATGTCACGATGAGACTTTGATTTGTACCAACAGGGGGTTGAAGTCAGTGCCTCAACCACCACAAGGGCTGAGCTCAGCAGCTCGGGCTCTTAGTTTAGGTGGCAATTTTATCACACACCTTTCTCCTGGGGATTTCTGCAACTACCCTGCCCTGAAGGAGCTGAGTTTGCAGTACAATTCCATCCAGACAATCTCTTCCAAAACCTTTGTGCCTCTCACAGAACTGAAAGAGCTCTACTTGGGGAATAACTTGCTTTCTAGTCTAGAGAACAAGACGTTTGCGGGACTCAACAACATCCAATTGCTGGATCTGAACCGCAATCGTCTGAGCCACGTTTCAAGGGACACCTTTTATGGCTTGAACAGTCTGATCAAACTGCGACTGGACGGAAATGTCCTCTCCACCATCCCAGACGGGGCTTTCGTGACTCTGGGGAATTTGGGCTATTTGCACTTGGAGAAAAATAACATCCGCTCTCTGTGGAGGAACCCTTTCCGAGGATTGGGCAAACTGCGCTACTTAAACCTGTCCAAAAACAACATCAGCCTGGAGCGGGGCAACCCCTTCAGACACTTGAAGTCTCTCTCCGAGCTGCAACTCTCTGAGAACCGTATCGTCTCTCTGAGAGAAGGCGCCTTCCGATGGCTGACAGAGCTGACCACACTCTCTCTCAGCCACAACACAATATCTGACCTCGACCACAACACATTCCAGGGGCTGACCCAGCTCAGATCCCTGGCCCTGGACAGCAACAACATTACGGTGATCTCACAGCGTCTCTTCAGCCCGGTGAAGCAGATCCAAGACATCGACTTGAGCAGAAATGCCATCAGTGAAGTGCAAATCGCCGCTTTTTGGGAGTTACATCTGCTCAACAGCTTAAACTTGAAGAGAAATGCCTTGACCGGCCTGGATCCGGCTGTGTTTGCCTCTGCGGGACATTTGTATAAGGTGGACCTGAGTGACAACCCCTGGGAATGTGACTGCCATCTGATGGGTTTGAGAGACTGGATCCACTGGGCTGTCAAAGGCCATAAACTCCTGACTGTCTTCATTCGCTGTGACAAACCCCAAAGTCTATCAGGAAGGTACCTCGATCTCCTGAGTGACCAGGACCTGATCAACTCGGGGGGAGAATGTCCTACCAAGGCCACCCAGCCCACCTCGCCATCAGAAACACACCCTCGGGCAACACAAATAGCCCAGGACACAGGGGTGACAGAATTGGACTCAACCCAAGCAGAGCCCTCAAGTTCATCTCAAAGCTCGCCCTTTCCAGGAATTGCGGTGATGAGTAGCGGGAGCAAAGGGCAAGGGCATGGGAATGGGAATGTGCAGCCCACCCCCACCCAGAGAAAGGGGCTCTCAGAGAGCAGATCGAAAGCCACAATGAGACCAAGGGCAAAGCAGAGCACCCCAGCAAAGCTCGACATCTCTCCTCTGGGGGAGGTCCCACAGCTGACCCTCGCTGACTCCTGCCGCTTCAATCGACTTTCTATCACAAACCTCTCCACCCAACTGGTCACCTCTTCCTCGGCCACCCTCACCTGGGACCTGGAGTATGCCAGAACAGGCGTCAGCTTCAGAATCATGTATGATCGATTCAACCAGAACAAAAGGTTCAGTCGCTATATTTATGTCAAGGAGGAGACCAATTGTTACACTTTGCAGGACCTCTATCCATCTGTCCCTTACTTGATCTGTTTGGAGAGTGTGGTGGACATGAAAACATGTGAGATGGAATCCAGAGAGCACTGTCTGGGGATTCTCACCAAAGCCCAGGACAGTTTCCCCGTGGACACACTCAGCCTGATATTGTATGTCACGGCCGCTAATGGTGCTGTGTTAGTGTTGGTCCTGGTTCTCCTGATCTGCACCTTCGCGGCGAAACACATCGGACGCAGGAGAGCGGATAATGCACCCAAGTCAGGATACTGCTCTGTCAGGAAGAGTAACTGTGCTGCGTGCTCTGGGATCACCTCCCAATACAACTCAAGTTACCAGAGCACCAACTCCGGATCAGTCACACCTCAGCCCAACTGTGCAGATTGTCCGGAGCCACCACAGAGAGACTGAGTGCATCACAGGACCTTCACTACTTGACTCTGTTACAGACAACAGTATTTGGACACAATAATAATAATATTTGCATTTGATATAGCACCTTATCACTTTGTTGAGACCTGTCAGACAGTCACAGAATTGGATTGACTGTGAATTGGATGGACTGTGGGCGAAACGCGCTATGCAATTTTTTTTTGTTTCTGAACGAACGAATGAAAGAAAAAAAACAGGACTTTTCCAAGCCCTTCTTAAAACAAACTTTGTAGAAATCAAGCAGACTGGAAGGGACACGTTGTTGTTGTTGTATAATGTTGTTCTTCTGCACCATGTAGGCAATTTAAACGCATGATATTCAGGCAATATAGTGGGTAATTACAATACTGGGAGCTTTCCATTAATTTATTTTTGACACAGCGATATTATTACTCAACTTTAAGGATGTTCTTAACCCTTTAAAATTACAGGTTTATAGAATATTGTACTGTATGTCGATTCATATTCCGCAGTTGGAACTTGTTGGAATCCAAAACATATGCTGGAATATAAAAGTTATTAAATGGCACATATTTTAGAAGTATGAAATGTACGAGGGTCGTTATGTAACGAATACGCTTCAGCAACACAAGAGAAATTGATGTTTTACCAGTGCTTTAGTTTCAGTTATACATTATTGATTGTACTTTTGATGCACTTTAGCTATAATTTCGCAGCTAGGGTAATATTAAATGAGGGTATCTGACCCAATTCAATTGTGACAGTGAAGTTTCTGTACTCTTATTAAAAAGCAATACTTGAAAAAGTCAGTATTTTAACTGCCGGATAGTTTTCAATGAAAGTTTGTGTCATTTTACTGTGTTTCTTTGTCTCTTCTAGTCCAGCATGGTTAGATATGACCTTTTTAAAAATATTTTATTCCAAAGATACATTGTTGTGTATCTTTGTATCTGCACACTGTAAATAAATATTAAAAGATAATATAAGCAAAGTGACTTGTTCCATCAAAATTGTACAATTCTAACATGAAAATATTTTTATACTGACTGATGTAAGAAGTCCAAATAAACATACGTTGAGTTTAAATCTCATCCTTCTTATTAGGACTTACCTGCAAATGCCCCAAACCATGGATATAAAAGTGTCTACACTCTGTGCTCTCGTTCCAAGCAAAATCTAGTGATCTAAAGGGAAAAAAATGTTGCCTATTTTAACTCAAATGAAAAACGTCACGAAGCTTAGTAAACTTGCAGCATTGCAAATAAAAGTATCATCAAACAGTTATGAAAAGAATTCTTCTAAAGATGAACAACACAGAACACACAAGAACTAAATGAATCGAGTGGAATCAGTCAGACTTCTGATGTTGTGAAGAACAGCATCAGACTTCAACTTTAGTTCATTTGTTTCTATAAATCTGGTGAAGGCCACTAGATGGCACTTTCTGCCCCAAAAATATAATCATACGGTTACTGGCATTGTGATGGTGCAGCTTTGCAGGTGAATTTCTCATGAGCAAGTTTCCGAGTTTTATTACTCTCCTGCTCAATACTTGTGAGTAGAAAAAAAAAGACCATCACAATAGCGCTCAACACACGATAGAAGAATTCTGTCGCGTTACAAGAGATCCAGACCAATCTTGTCAGCCACAAACACTTAGCCCAACTGTATGTGTTCTGCCTAAAATATACTCAAGGCCGTATAAAAAGGATGTTTAGGGTTTTGAGAAACTTTTTTCTGTATGATCTGCAAAATATAAACCATGCTATCTCTTATACATCATCTTATATTAGGATCCATTCTGATACAGTATCTTGTTTCCTGAATTGGCTCAATCAAAAAAATCTGTCATGGGCCCGTGTTTAAATTCCATCTTCGTGACTCATCGGGAAAGTAAATATGGCACTAACTATTAAGTACATGTTAAGATTTGCAGAGGAGTTAGGTATTTAAGCAAATGGAAACCCATTACTGGATTTTTTGTTGCAGCAAAACTTAACATTTATTTTAAACCTGGCTGTGAATCAAATAAGTAAAAAATCAAAGTAATACAATGATAAATTATTGATATATAATCAGTAGACTTCTGCCTAACTTTAGTCCCACTAATTTGATTTTGAAAGGTGTTGGATCTGTTGCTAAACCTCAGAGTAACACTCTTGGTGAATCAAAACACCATTTCACCACTCTTTCATTCTCTTTTCATCACAATTTTTTTTCTCCAATTTTTAGACGATTGCCATTTTTGTGTCCATTATTCTTCATAAGATTGTTTTTCATTTTGTAAAGGGTTTTATTGCATCATTTGTTTTAACATTATTTGCTCTAGCATGCTGAGTCTTGCTGGGAGTACAGTTCTATAGGTACCAGGTAGCCTGTTATTGCTCACCAAGGAGTCATTCTTCAGGTGTGAGCTCTGACAGTGAATATTGACACATTTAACCACGATTATATATAATAATCCTTATGTTTGATTTGGGGCCTTATCACGTCTTCGAGAGTATACTGAAAAGTGAATTGACTGTGTATTTTGTGGGCTAAACACAGCAGCCAATTGCGCACAGCAATGTCCCACAAACAGTTGTGGATTGAGTGACCATATTATTATTATTTTTAAAAAGTTTGTTTTGGAGGGATTATTACCCCAGGAAAAGCAATCTGCCAATCGGCAAACAACTTTTTAAAATATTCATGGCAATTTATGGACATTCTCTGTCCATCTTCTATGTGCCCTTTGACTGATTTATTCAATAATTTATTATTACAGATTAGACATTTAATGTAAATTAAAAGAAAAAAAAATCAAATGGAATCAGTTTGTCAAGTTGGAAAAAGATATTATTTTGAAATCTGATTTAATGTAACCTTTGGGAAGACCCAAGAAAAGGGACAGTGTTACCTTAAACCAAAGTATTTTATATCTAATGAAGCAATGAACTGTTGAATTTAAGAAAATGAAAAATAATTTTTTGCTGTACAAGTGTTTGTCGGCAGATGGCAGCACTAGTAAAAATGGATGTTATGCACAAGATCGTTAAAATCCATGTCAAACCCAGATTGCACGTTTAAATAAAAGTGTGCTATCCCCGTTAGCATTTAAAAACAGTTTATTGACGTGTACTTTGTAGATAAATTATTTTATTCTCTTGGAGAACTTATTCATGCAAATTGCACAAAGAGGAAGAGCACACCACAAGCTACCTCTGTAGAAATGGAAGCCTGTAATCAGGAAGGTAAAGACACAAGGTTTTGTTGACAGATAATAGTCTGTAAAACAAGAATGTTGATGAAATGGATCCTGTACAATAGTGTAATTGATAACCATCACAAAAGTACCTAGTCTACCATTACATGTCGAGAAGAGGTTTTCTTCAGAGGCCCCAGCAAATCTTTCTCAGCCCGTCTCAGCTTCCTATTTTCTATTCTGACCAATTACACGTTTATAAACCAGAAGAACTGTAAAGCTGTTCTGGAGAAGTCACATTCCATGTCATGTTAATTTTGCTATCCATCACTCCATGTGGCAGCACAATGCTTTCACCCCAGCAGATTATATTTACACACATATAAAAACATCTTCTTTAAACTGCTGTTGGCGCTCCTTTGTTTGGATACATCTTTCTTCCTCCTTTTAACGGTTATTTATCTCAGTGTTGACAATAAATAGCATAAGATTCTTGTTGTAATTTCTTATGCTGTCCCTGTGTTACATGAGTATGACTAAGAAGTCACTACAGTGTTCATGGCACATTTAGTAAAATCAACATCTCACAGATGTTTTGATAATGAGAAGAAAGGTAACATACAATCAATCTCATCAGTAACAATCAAACTGCACATGGAATGTTAATAATCAATATTCATTATTTGTATACATAGTCATTTTAAATAGGAATCCACCAGTGTGACATTTAAAGGCAACGTTCCTAGTTGGTCAAAACCATTGACCCACTCACAATGCATCACCTCAATCCTCAACAGAACTGCTGAGGTTTTCAGGCAAGTTATTTTCTTTCAAAAATAAAATAAAAAAATCTAAATGTACTGACAATACCGAATTAAAATGGCATGATAAAAAGGATAATGAAATAAAATTTATAGGAAACCTACTTATTCCCAACCTCTCACTCCCCTTATAATGTGCAAATTAGAAAAGGCAAATTGAATAAAAACAAAGTCATGGTTAGGTCGGAGAGTAAAATCTCCTCCAAGAGCCTGATCAGTGATCCAAGAAATTATTGAGCAACGATTAATTATTTAGTTAGATAGTAGGTGTTAAACTACTTGCAGGTCAACATAAGCTCTCTACTTGAATTTTTAACAAAAGTCCAATCTATTTGAATCAATATAATTTAAATTTCCTTTGCTCCAATGTGAAGCTTATCTGTCAGAGAATGGTAGCTGAATTATTCTTGGACCGCTGATCGTATGTTATGACCATGCGATCAACAACACAGATCAATTTAGCCTATGTGGAGCTTTGGTATGGTACAAACAAGATTTGATACATTTTTCACAGTCTTTGGACCAACCTTTTAAGTCACTCACTCCGTTATTCACAAAACTGCACAGCAGAAGCCAATGAATTCTCACTTTTTAAACATAATTTTGATTTTCAACTGGCACGGAACAAACTTGTGACTTTGGAAGATTACTCCCTTCCTCCTTCCCGCACCCACCCAAACACGAAAAAACATAAGCAGGTGTTATTTTAAGAATACAAAACAAAGTGCCAGTGGCATTTATGGACCAGACAATGATGACTAAAAGATATTTCTTTCAAGGCTGCAACCAAGCATTCACTTTGCTTACATTGCTCGAGCCACATCTGAAATGTAACAAATAAAAAAAAAGCAACTAAACATGAAAACATTATTTGTGTTGGAGATTCGGTCTCCTCAGTCCCCAATTTTCCATTTTACAGTCACTGATGGGACGTCTGCTATTTTCTGTAGTGCACATAGTACATCCAATCAACTCCCTGAAGGTTGAGACTGAGACGAAGGGGCCATGACAACATGAGACTGGACGGGCAGGTTCATCTCGGAACTCTGGTCTGCCATCTGAGTCAGAACTGACGTGGCCACAGCTTCTGCCATGGCTGTGGGACTCACACCATTCGAGGTGCTGATGGAACTATGTTGAATAACTTGGGTTTGGGGGCTGCCAGGTAACGGGCTGTCTACAGTACTCGCATCTTTTTCTGCATCTGGTGAAAAAACAGACCAGGCACCGGATTAGGACAATGTATATGAAAAAAGGTAGAATGTACAATAAAATGCCCCCCCAAAAATTCATATCCTTTTACCTTACTTGGTGAAAATGATTATCATTACACTGAACATACTCCAAATACCTTTCCTGTGTTTAACATCTAATTTGGCACACTTCAAACTAAACAAGTATAAATATCCAAGAGAAAGCAACCACTAGTTACATAATGCAAGAAGCATGAGCATTGAGGAGGTCAGAGAGGAAAGAAGACGTTGACAAGTGCCAAGGAGTATGTATGGCTTCCATCTTTCAATTACAAGAGATTTGTGCTCATCTGGGCCTTGATGTGCGACAAGCAAGCTGACAAAACATCAGTGGTCCTGGAGTCACAGGTGGAGGAGAAGTAGCATTGGCAGCAGTTGTAGAGAAATCTGAATCTAGGTTCTGAAACATTGTGCTTTTTGAAGGGGGCTATATAAATGCAGGTTGCTGTTGTTAAATGATGGTACTCGCCAGGGTGTGTAGCCTCAGATAGAAAATATAATTTCTTGAGCAATGTCTACCTAAACTTGCTGTGGCAACAACTAGAAAATTCACGTGGAAGATTGAGAGTACACAAAGAGAAGTGCTGAACACCTTTTATTTACAGCAGAGATTTCTTCATTTAAGGCTCACCTGCCAACTTCGTGCAGCGATGGATGATGACGGTACCTGATTCTAATGATGCACACACAGGAGAATAAGCACTGTTTAGAGTCTAAATGCCACCAGCTGTTCTACAGTTGTTGTGGATTAATTGGATCCAGATTTAAAACTAAAAAGCCATACCATACCCGATTTATAATTCAGCTAATGACACGTTCCTCTTGTAACCTAAATTAATGTTTTCATGAAAACCAAAAGTGCAGGTTTTTAATAAAAAATGCCTTCCAAATCATTCAAATTTTAGAATGAACATTTGGAAGTTTTGAACTTAATAATTGTTAGAAAAACTAATGTAATATGGAGGGAACCGTAATCTGGTTTTCAAAATTGAGAAATGATTAGCCCTACATTATAATGTAGACAATTGCCATAAGTAAGTAATTGTGCAACCCTAACACACAGGCACAAACACATAATTAACCCTTAACTCATAAACCCTTTTGTTGATACCGTATACATTTCCCTGGAAATTATATAGTGGTGCTTTTACATTGCCAACAATGCATCACTGCTATAAGGCGAATATCTCAAGACTGAAAAATGTTTGTAATATTTTCAACAGTGCAGACATTGAAGCTTGAGGCTGTACATTATTTTGCCCATCAGGAACACAAGAGTTTAGATTCAGGGCAAAAAAAAATATGTGCACAGTGTGCATGCCATTGCAAAGTACTATCCGCATCAATAAGAAAACACATGCAGAGCTGACAGGTTGCAGCTCTGACTGACTAATCTCCATAGCAATCACTGTCAATAGCAAAGGTCTGCAGTTTTCTTGTATAATGTACCTTCGGGCTACAGTGCAAATCCGCACAGCACTCAATTGATTGCAGATCAAAGGGCTTTGAGTTATGCTTCCTGACTTGATAAAATTTATGTATAAAGTCCAGATAGATTGATTGCAGTTTCATTTAGAATTGAGAATACTTTCTCTCAGAAAGACATTTGTCTTTCATTGTGCTTTAGAGTAAAAGGTGTACACTATGATACATATTAGCTACACATACTGTACTGCATGTCCATTTAACCAAAGCATGGAAGTCATGTGCATGCTAACCATGCAGAAAAGCTTGGGTGGTGATTGAATAGCAGGGAATACAGTGGACTCAGAACAGTTGAGTGGGTACTGGTTCCCCAGTTACAGTATTGCAAGGTCAGTGGAATGGGGATCATTGTGCTCTGGGAAAAGAGGAAGACAGGTAGCCAGATACAAATCTGAAGCGATGCTTGTGTGTCTGTGATGTTGGTTAACTTTAATCAACTGGAGTGCTGGATGCAGCCATGAAAGTGACGGGATGAGAGGGTTGGGAGAAGGTCAGTTATACTGATGATTTGATTAGTCTGTTCCATTACTGGGTAAAGAGTGTGACAAAACCTGCCTTTTACAACTGGAGTTCAATATTCATGATGTTCATTGTCCCTGATAGTTTCTTAAAACTATTGTCATCTCATAAAAGCATCCATTTCAAATAAAATAATCAAAAAGCCTAAGACTTGCCACTTTGAGATTATAAATAAATGCCTAATAAACCATTAATTCAATTAACTTCAAATACTTGTGCAGAATTATGTTTTTTAAAATTACTAATATATTAAATTGACATATCTAACTACTGGAGTCCTACTACTAACTACTAACGTGGAGTCCTGTAGCTCAGTGGTTAGAGCACTCGCTTTGCAAGTGAGAGACCCGAGTTCAATTCCAGGCAGAGGGCGAAACCTTGGGCAAGTTTCCTTACTCCACACAGAGCCTAATAATGATCCCTCCAAAACCAAAAACAATAATAAATTGGTCATTTTCAATCTACGACTGTTTGTGGGACATTGCTGTGCGCAATTGGCTGCCGCGTTCGCCCACAAATATACAGTCAATTCATTTTACAGTGTGTTCTGTGAAGCGCTTTGGGACGTCCTCCTGACGTGAAAAGCGCTATATCAAATGCAAGGATTATTATTATTATTATTACTGGGCTAATAAGAAACATAAAAGCTATTGCAAATGAAATAAGTGGCCACTTATTTCACACCTACTTCAAGAGTCCACAATTTTATATAATCTTTGCATATGGTACAGCGCCTTTCACGTCAGGAGGATGTCCCAAAGTGCTTCACAGAATTTACTGAGAAGTGGAGTGACTCGCCTCCATGACATACATCCCACTCCATTCGCCTCCTTCCCCATCATTTCCCTGACTGAAGTACCATTTACCCCGTTGTCAGGGAGGGCAGTAAACATTTTAAGAAAAGTCAAAGGGAGATGAATTTACAGCAACTATAGTTAAATTAACAAATTTTTATGACAAAGTTAAATCTGACAAATTTAGCAGTCGCCGTTAGACCAACTACAGTTTGTTTCATCTGTACAGAACCTTGCATGCCATAAATGAATACTTGGGAGTCATCTATGAAGATGCACCATTGTGGCTATAACTGAAATAACCTTGTGGAATTTCTAATATTCTACTTTAAATACCAACTACAGTTCCTTGTTACTGCCAACTCAGTTCATTTCAGCAGTATTTCATTTCTGTAGCCTGGGGATATAGGTAATGGAACATTACTCACTGTGATAGCCAGATTTCTTCTGCATGGCTGTTACAGGGCAATCTTTATGAGCCAGAAGTAGCTGTTTCAGCTGAGCCACTTCATTTCTCAGCAGGGTGACTTCGTTCTAAGGAACAAAGAACAACTTTCACAACCAGCATCAGCACTACTTTAAGTTTGTAGTTTGGAGCCATCACAGAGGGGAGGCTTTAAACATTCTTTTATTTTATAGATTTGGCATCACTTAACTCTTGTGTAGTCAGTATAGTGATGAAAAGAGATTCCCTGCCTTGATTTAACCAATTTTTATCACAACTGGTTATTGATATAGAGCGAAAACAGAGATTGTAATGAATAATGTAAATCCATTCCACTGCCAATCTATAATTATGAACCTTGTTTCTATACCCTGAAGGCAGCAATACCACCAAATTCCCATTTCATCTAAAAAAATGAATAAAATGAAAGAATTAAAAATAATCCTAATAAGCTCTTTTGAATAGACGAGTGCACAAAACATCTATAGTGCTACACCCATTTCTATAATATATTCTTAGCACAAATCTCTAATGAATTACTATGGTTACTATTGGTGGAAAAAGTATGATAAACAATTCTATAACACATGGCTTTGTTCTAAATCAGATAATTACTTATTGGGATAATAAACAAAAAATATGCATTTAAAGCGCTAACAATTTTTGACAAAACTCATGGTTTTCCAGTTATAATTATGTCAATATTTCAATTTGCTTTGTTTAAATAGCTCACTGTTAACACGGTTTTGTGTATTGTCATCAGGGCTTGAGGAAGTACTCAAAGCAGTGGTATGGTCATCAAGGAAACAGAAATAAACCTGCTCCACTTTTAACTTTATCTCTATTTTAAACTCTATTATGGCCATAATCAATACTACTCCAAACTTTATACATGTTTGAAGCTCACCATATTGAGTGTTCTGGAGGAGCAACTAGTTTGATTAAAAAATAAATAGGATGATTGAACGAATTTTGAAATTTTTAAAGTTTTTAAAGTTTTCAAATAGTATTTTTCTACCAAAAGGAACATTGTTTATACATATTTACTGCTTGCACAGAACTGACAATTATTTGTATTGTTGGGTGAGCAGAAGATGCCAAGTTTCAATGGAGGATTCGTGATATAACTCAATAAACGGAGGTTTCAATCCATATACAATTCAATTTACTGCCGGCCTATTTTGATTGAAGAGAGCTGACAGAGCAGCCAGTTCTTTTTATATCAAAAGACTGAATAGTGATATGGAGGCTTTCTTAAGGTCTACAAAGTAAATAAAAGGCAGCCACTGTGACAACTGTGGTCTTACAGTTGCTGGCACAAAGAAAAATCAATGCAAAATTCAGCATAAAGTAGAAAAATTGGAAATGTACATAAACCATTCATGCCACAGATTCACTACATCTTTGAGAGCAAGTCAGTACAAGTATTTTCAAATTGGACCACTTGCTGGTAAAGAAAATGGTAGCATTATAAAACCGTTTGAAATACACTCCAATTTTTTTAAAAATGTATTAAGATGATAATGGTTTTGTAGATCAGTGGATATTGCCTCTGTTTGAATACAAATCTGCTACTTGCAAACAAAATTCAGAATGTTCAGAATACCAGAGTACAATTTCTTGAGGGCACATTTATTCACTCTAACAAATCAGTTGTCTCTAACCTGCCTCTTGTTTTTTTTAAAAAAAAATTCCATCAGCAGGGCAAGATAATCTGCTTAGTCCTTACACTGAACCTCCCAGTATTGTCCTAAGACAGTTTCTTCACACATATCAGACCTACAATTTAGAATAATGTAAAAGCAATGATGCTTCATTATAACCTATTGCACTGATCAGCTGTGCTTGAATGTCATCTGAGAAATTATAAAGGAACCTCAGGATTGATTAATGGGTTCATATAAAGTACAGTTTAATTATTTCTTTGACATTCAATTTTCAGTACCAGACATAATGGGTGGGCATTCTTTACGGCTTTGCTTCTGGCTAAGAAAGGCTGAGCGAAGTCAGTCAATGCATTCTCGAAATCCATTAATATCAGTTCAAGTGGAGCCAGCAATGTCTCCACAAACCCAGCACATATTGAACATATATGAACCCCAAATCCTAAACGCTTTTACAATTCAAATGAATTCTCAATTTGACATAGCAGCAATCTTTCCAAACTCATGCACTGTGCACGAGATGTACTTAACAAAACTTTTTTTTTTAAAAAAGTCAGCATACAGGCTGCTTAAAACATCGTATATTAATTATTTAACAAACGGAAAAAGAAGCTAAAACTTACCTGCAGTTGCACATTTGTTGAGCAAAGATCTTCCGCCTTCTTTTCTAGAGATTGCACCCAGACTTTCCGCTTCTGTCTGCACCTTGAAGCAGCTGCTCGGTTACGCTCTAAAAACTTCCGCCTTTTCTCATCTGGGTCTTCGTTCGTTGCACGCCTCCGCCTGCCACCAGTGCTCTGGATCTGCAGTGTTGGTTGGGCAGGGGAGCCCTGCAATTAAACCAACACTCAATCATCATTCCTCAGGCAAAATCTCATGCATCTAAAAGTAAAGCTTTTAACTTTAAACCTCCATGAAAAAAAAATATTTTAGCCCTGTACACTTCAGCTCGATTCCATTGTTTTTAATGGAACCAAGATTTGTTCAGCTTAGTGAGAACTATTAGACCTGTTGCCACCATTGAAGTTAGCAGATCGTGGCATTTCAGTGCTGGTTCTTGGGATAGCAAACCAATTCAACTTTAAAAGTTCTGAAAATAAATTGAAAAGAAATTGAGAGTCAGCCAGTTTTAAACTATAGATTATATTTTTAACCCAGAAAGAACTCAATAGTGGAGTAAAACCATAAATATTTTGACAAGAAATAATTATTTCCAGTTGCCATGTAAATGGGGCAACTATGATACCACATCACACAAGCAATGAACGGACAATCTTTTATTCCAACTAAACCCCACTGAACATATTATTACATTAGAGATCAATAGACATATTAACAATAAGAACTGCCTCAAACCTAAGAACAGAAAATGTTGGAAAACTGATGTATTATCTGTGCACAGCACCAACAGCATGTGGAAGTGAGATAGACACGAGAACTTTGAGATCAATGAATTTTGGGGTCTAACCACCGTGACAAAATCCAGAGTTCATCCCAGCCAGACATGGATCGAGATATTTATAGGGATGAAACTTGAGATAATGTGTCATCACTGGTGAGAATTCTCACATCAAGTTTTTCATCCCAATAAATGTACTGAACAAGGTAACACCTATTCACTTACCACTGGTTGAGTTGTGGAAGTTGCAGCCTCCTGCAATGATTGTGGATGTGTTTCCTCCGGTTGGGTTGTTGCTGCACCACTCGTTTGAGAAATGGTACCATTACCATTAGTAATCTGAGGAAGCTGTTGTGTCAAAGCTGCCTTCAGTCTCTGTCAAAAACCCCAAAACAAAGCAGCAATTTATAACCTATAATCCAAGTCATATCAGTTAACTTTGACTAGTAGATACACATGGTACAATTGTATGCCCAGTTTGTACTTCAGGAAGTTATTACAGTTGAGTTTGCATCATGTTAGGTCTTCTATTGTTATAATTCACATAATGTTATACTGGCAGCCGATCCCAGCCATAGTTGGCATTTGAGTTTGTGTATTATTATAGCCTTATAATGTTATAATTTCTTTAATGTTATGCAAATTTGCTGTCCTGATTAACACAAGATTGAATCATGTTATATCCAGGGGTACAGTACTATCGGAGCATATTTTTGTGATTCAATTCTGTAAAGCACTTAAAAAAAACTTTATAAAAAGCTAACCCTTATCACAGTGAATTTAAGGTAAAACATTGCATGTTTTTACATTTGGAAACGTTTGCCAGTATTTTTAAGGGACGATTCCCCCATTGTTATAGTACATATAAGTTTATAATTTTGTCCTGTACAACAGAATATAACGTTAAGCAGATTCTACTGTAGTTGTTTCCTGGAGTAAACCAATTGGAAGGAAGCTCAAATTACATTTTCCGCCACTGCTAAGTGCAAACATACACTGATCAATTTTTAATTACTATGTATTTTTCGACTGCTAATGTTATCAAATGCCTGGAGGAGTGAAAAGTTCTTTTTTTTCCCCCAAAAAGAAAAATCTCTTAAAAGTGGTTGGGTAATCTCCTGAGAAAAAATATTTAAGTACTAATTTTGAACAGGAACTGTATAAATCATTTGCACTACCTGTGTTTATACTGAAATGACCTCATCAAGTCCGTTTCAAACACAACACGTTTTGCGCCACAAAGTCAAGTTACATTGTGCTTTTGTTTGGGAGAGACAATGAGGTGGAAGGTAGATCTGATCCTTAACACAAGTCAGACTGTGAAATCCATTGTATTTTTCAGTGGACACAGCTGACCATAACCGATGACAAGTAGGTATTAAACAAATTTCATTGCGTATTACATGAATATGAGGCCGCAACAGAAATATGTAGTGGATATTATAAATCGCTCAACAACGATTTGCTTCCACAAATTATATACAAGTATCTTTCTGCCACCCAGCCTGTGATAGGCTGGGTCATTAGGCTATCCGATACTTCAGCTTACCTGCCACTTCTGGGAAATTAGTTTGGCTAGATTATGGCCATTTTATGGAGATTAAATAGTTGTACTTTGATGGGACACAATTATCTTCACATTTAACCCTAGATTTTTTTTTAAAACCCCCTTCGACCGTGCCTTCGGTCACCCACCTATCACCCCTGCCCTCCACCTTCCCCAATCCCCAGCTCAGGTCCGAAACACTGATTGTCCTACGCCTCTGGATGTCCTCCCGACGTGAAAGGTGATATACAAATATAATTTTGTAAACAACAGATACCTTCATGACCACCATCAATGTCAATACCTGACAGGTCAACAGGAGCACATTTTTATCAGAGGTAGGTGGTTGTGTTATTTTCTTCCAATGTGGAATGTCCTCAATCCACCTAGTTAAATACTAGCTAACTCATTCCAAGCGGATCTAAGTTAAAGATACCTCTGGATCTTTAGATTCCAGTAGACATGAGCTACTTTTACCTAGTAACCTACTGCACAAAGTTTTTGCCCTGCATTGCATTTAATAGCTAAATGTAATAGTGCACTTTTGCTAATACTACTGATAATAATATAACAATTATGACTTATCCTAACAAGATTACATCAACAATCATAATATAGTATCATTTCTCGGTTTACAAAGAGAAAGTTGACCTTTATGGCTTTCTTTTCTTCTCCAGAAGATCTTGGCAAATAATTAGATAATTATTTGGGTAGCACAAGTTTGCAGTGCTATGGGGAAAGAGCAGGGATGCGGCATTGATTTGGGTAGCTCTTTTCAAAGAGCTGGCACAGACACGATGGGTCGAATGGCTTTCTTCTGTGTTGTATAATTCTATGATTCTATCCTCCCTTTATTCGTTCATCCTCTTCTACTTCTATGAACATCAAGTTTAACCCCATAGAGTCTGCTGGATCAAACAGTCCTAGTCTCAAATAAGCATCCACCCCTTAATGATATCCTCAAATTGTCCTTGAAAAAACTGCTGAACTTGTCCTTTACATAATCTTCAGCTTCTACTTTCAGCTCATCTTTTCTTCTCCTTAGAAATTTGCTCATGTTAATTCTATTCCTGTGGAGGGAAATCCCTCTCATCCTTCAAACTACAGCCCTATTGCCATTTCATCTGGGTTTGCTAATGATATGGAGGCAGTTGTCAACCCTCAAGTTATCCATCATTTTGAAAGATCTGGTCTAATTCACGACTGTCGGTTCGATTTGCAGAATGCCAACTCCACCGTTGAGTTTGCCTATACTACACAACTATTCTTGAATACTGGTATTTATTGCCTTGGAATTTGACAAACTCTGACACTACATCATTCTATAGAAGACACTGGTGAAGTGTACCATCCTGGATGGCAAGTGGGAGGAGGTCTTTCATGGAATTAAAGGTCTGTAGTACTGAGCTGTTAGCAGCGAACATGAGTACAGTATAATTTATGTTTGTACTTGAATCTCTCTTTCCTGTTTGCTTTTCCGTGTCTCCGTCACTTTCTGTCTGTCTCCGATCCTCATTCTCGCAGTCTGTAAGTCTGTTCTTTGTGTCCATCACTCTTCTCACTTAATATCACACTCAGAATTGTTTCCCCAACTACTAGTAATACTTCTTTCCCTCTTCTTCCTCTCATACTTATCATTCCTCTTTCATTTTGTTCATTCACACTCTCACTTTCTTGCACTTTTCAAACACTCTGCGCTTTCTCTCGATTTCCTATAACTGTCTTCCCTCTTGCATGCACATTTCCTCATTCTCTGCCCCGTTTCTCTCACACTTACCCACACTCAATCCCTCACAAGCCCTCTATCTCACTCTCTTCCCTTATTGCCTCACTTTCTATTCTACCTCCCCATCGTCACGTCCAGGCTCAATCACTCTTCTCTCAGATTTAAAAAAAAAATCAAATAAGTCAATTTATTAACAGGTTTGCTTTGAATTTACAGAAAATGTTTTAATCTGTATACATAAAAGAACCAGATCACAGCTAAACTATTTAACAAACTTTACATTATGATGGGAATAGAAACATAGAAATCTAAAACGGAGAAGGAGACCATTCAGCCCATCAAGCTTGCACTAGCTCGGAAAACAAGGATATTGTTTCAATCCAACCGCTCAGCTTGTAACCATCTTATATCTTGCCCCTTCGTCACTGACTCCCCTATTAATGGAAATAGCTTCTCTATGTTTGCCCTAAGATTCTCTTCAGAGGTCTAGTCTTGCCTCCCTCCCCCATAGAACAGGTAGAATATGTAGCCTTAGGTAGGCAAGATTAAAAAAAGGCCTGATATCCTGATGGACAGTTTAGAAGTGTGATGTCATGATCGACAGGCTGAGCCATGTAAAGCAAAATAAATAAAAGCAACTGCCTTACATTTAAAATCTGCAATGGCAAAATAACAGATAAAAATGCTACCACTTTCAGTTCACAATATATTTGACGGATCCTGCATGTCCAAGTCCCAGTCTAAAATGGTAGATTTTGATTGTGCTTTCTATAGAAATACAGGACACACAAAAAAGGTCTGCAATGTGCATATTCTCATTATAATGCCAACCACTTACAATTTTAATTTTAGAAGATTTATCAGCTATTTAAAATATGTCAGTTGTGCAAGATCATTAAGCACTAGAATCAATCACTTTGTACTTCTATTTATTACGCAGCAAAATACTTCTTCCTTTTTTTTTTTACATTTGTAATCTGGTCTAGTTCTTTTCTTCACTGCTGCACAGCATCATCTCACACAGCTCCAGCAATCATTACAGCTGATGACAGTCTTCGGTAGGCTTCAGTGCACCACAGCTGTATTAGCTGTCAACTATTCATCTGAATAGACTTTACCAATTTTAGAGCATTCTTTAATTTCATGGATCAAATCAGATTTATATGCAATACAGGATATGTCCATTCAAATAATAATGAAGAACCACTCAAGAATTTTGCCATTAGAATAATAACTGTCAAAATTGAGTCAGCACATTGCGTTTTATTTAAATAAAAGCCGCAATATGATGTCAAATGGTACCAACCGCAAGCAAAAATAGCGATAATTGCAGAAAAACTATAAACTAATTTATTTATTTACTCTAAAGTTGCAGAAAAGATTTTTTTAAAATGTTATATTCCTATATAAAAAAAAGCTTCACACACTTTCTTTATGTCACCCAACATATGTAATCTCTGTACATGGGCATGTCCAGCAGTGCAAGCGAGCTGCAAGAACTGCAAGTAAAGCTGGAGGGAATGTTCACAGCAATGGAGAGCAATGAATTTCCCAGACAATAGAAACAAAAAGCAACAGCGCTGAGCCTAAAAGTGGTGACATTTCAATACCGTTTTTGTTTTAAAAAGTGTTCATTGTGGCTAAATTAATGTTGCCACTGGGGAAATACAACTGCATGATTAATTTTAAAAACTTTATTAAAAGATCGTTTCCTATTCATGAAAAAAAATGTAGTTCACTAAGCAAAATATTTTAATCTGATTGCCATTTTCTAAAACATAATACACAATACTTATTTGTGTTTCTATTGAATTAGTACTCGCAAACTAAACCAACATTGAATAGGTAACAAACATAGCTACAGTTATGATTAATGTAAACTGCAATCAATGATTTTACAGTAATATGTAATCTCTTTACCACTCTCTAACAACCTCTGTTGGATGCAGAATTTGTTCATTTGTAGAATAGAATTCCTAAAGGAACTGAAAACTATAAAGGAACACAAGGATATTGCTGAACACCTGCTAACACTCACTAATATTTTACTGTCATAAAACTGTACATTTTTGACAGCCACAATATCACGTGTTCTCTCCCACTGGATTATAAAAATCATGCTACAATTACCGATTTGAACACTGAAAAATTAAATTTATTGAAATGCCACTGCTTGTTTACATTTGTCAATGATTCACAATTCAAATTTAAATTAAACTACATTATGCTTACCACATGATTGATTATTTTTAGAAATTTTATGTTTTGAAAAGAATAATTCTATATTAAAAAACAAATGACTACAGAGAAAACATAATCCAAAATTGAGCTAGGTTTAATTTCAGAGAAGGAATAAATGCCAATTTATCCCCAAAAATGCTTTGCCGTAAAGTTAACAGAAAGGCAATTCCCAACACTGGCCTTGGGTTTAAAAACACATTGCTGTGTTTTGCTATCGGAAGGTTGGATTTCAAAGTCATGCAAAAGGCAGCTTCCACAATATTCTTTGTATTATCTTCTTATTTCATAAATGTTCGACTTATCTAGTACTATATTTAGTGAACAAGGTTAAAAAATTGCAGGAAAAGAAATCTGTCAATGTCTTTACTGAACACATAGCTAAAAAAACATCTTCAACCCAATCAATCTCTGATTTTGCATTTTACACTGCCAGGGAAAAGGCTGTATGCATAATATAACTGCGCATTGCTGATGAATATATTCACAATATCACTTGGCTATTTGCATATTTTACCTCTTTATTTTTATTAACAATCTTCTAATTAAAATAGGTAGTCACTAAATTACTAGTCAATGAAACACATTATATTTATCTGCCTGTCCAATCACAGTGCTAATGAGAAAGCAGACACTTGCCACTGTAAATGCCTCCTAACATTTTAATTTGCTTTTTGAAGAGGCTTCACAAATGAATACACTCTACCATTTTCTGGCGTAACACAGCCTCTCTTTCGTTGCACAAACCTATCTATCTGTCAACAGAATTTGCAAAGCATATAGTTCCTTTCTAACCAGACAGCTTACAGAAAAAGAAAGATATTACGCTTCTGAAACAATCCACAAAAAGTCAAATCCATATTTCATATCTGCCATAAAAACTCATCAGTGTAATAACCCCCCCTTCTCTTGGGTGTTCTCCTACCATCTGCTGCTGTATTACTTATCTTTATTTTGCAACTAATTAACAGCATAATCTTCTAAATTCAGCAAGTTAATTATCATTATTGTGGTCTTTGCAGCATCATCAGTCCTTGTGAAGCTGCATCTCTCCACCCCCAGAGAACGTGTGTAAATGAAGCAGGTTGGGAGAGGGTCTGTTTCCTCGGAGCAGGCTCATTAGGTGTTTGCTGATGAGCTCGGCATGCAGGGAAGCAGGTCAGAAGAATTCTGCTGAACATGAGGTTCCACACTGGGCTCAGTCTGCTTTAATGTATGTTTTTGAACCTTTGCCAAGCTGCCCTCTGTCAGCTCTCAATAGAATGTACCCTACAGCAAACACTGTTGGCTGCCCACTGTGTGCAAAGCAATTCCTCAGTATGTCACAGAGGCCTTTGTGGTAGAGATATCTAGGGGAGCAATAGTCGGTTCTACCTAAAGCAGTAACATTGCTTTTTTTTCCCCCCCCTAAAACAGCTGTTTATATTTGCAAATTTGTAATCACCTAACAAGGACAAACAAAAATCTATAGATGATAGAAGCACCTTGTGCAGATATAACATGATTTTCATTCCTAAATTCAAACTCCAAAAAACACTAATAAAACATCTTCCCGCAACTAATGTGTTTTCAATTGATAATGCCATCTGTTTGCCAATTGCCTTAAAATAGTTCCTTAGAAATTACTAGATAGAAATCAGGAGTGGGAATTCTCAGTTTCCTAGGCCAAGCCATTGCCTCATGCCCCAGACAATGCCCTCCATTTGCTGGCATTTTCAGATGGCTTGCACCTTTACATTTCAAAAACATAATCAGCAGTTTGGATTGCTCCACTGATTTCTGGATTATTTTAAATAAAAGTATTCATGCTCTTACTCAATATCTCTAGCCAACTGAATCTATGGTAGTCATAGGTGTGATGGAGAACAGTGAAACACACTTGTTCCCTTTCCACCCCAGCATTCCCCAAACAGTTTGATCAAATTGACACAACAGGTTCTTGCAGCTGTCTGTGGATGAGCCTCCCATCCATCGAGATTATTACTCATGTAAAAAAGGGGCTGGTGAATGCTGAGACATAAGAAACTGTGAATATTAAAACAATTCAAATGAGTGGAGAGGAAGAATAAGATCGAAGACCATCAATAACATGGTTTTTAAGGTGGATTGATTTAATGATGCTTATAAAATGTAGCTTTGCTATAGTGAAGCTGCCTTTGCTTCAGGCAGTTTAGCGATGTGAGACAGGAAGCTGGCTTTATACTGTTTATATTGCTCAATTTCAAATGGGGGAAAGATTGACGCCAAGCCTCACATGTGCAGTCCACAGAAATCAGAAAAGTAGAAAACAAATCTACCTCCCAGTGTTATTGTGAAATGATTAGAAGACAATACAAAATTGGAATTTCAAATATAGCTTTCTGTATGCTTACAATATTCTACAATCTGTATCTGTGAGACAGATGATTTTTCAACATTTTCAGAAGGATTGCACTCCAACATTTCAAGAACTTAATCAGCCGTTTTGATTGTCTCTGCTGATTTCTGAGTTAGTTTAAACAAAGTATTGAATAAAATGTTATGGTTGTTCAATATCTGGCTAATTTCTAGAGATTTCATCAATCACTTAGAAATATTTGACTCTTACACCTACCCACCAAATGCATTGACTGCTGAAACTTTTTAAGCAATCCATTCAAATATTTTGCAATACTTCAAATGGCAAATAAACTATCTTGGCCTCTCAAATGAGAAAGTATAATGTTAAAATGTTCTGAGCAGAATTCGACTTTAACATAATAATAATTCTTGCATTTAATATAGAGCCTTATCACATCTTTGAGATGTCTCAAAGCGCTTCACAGAATACCCTGTAAAGTGAATTGACTACATATTTTGTGGGCAAGATATGAAAAGAATATATCGTTTCATTCCCTCCAATTGTGGCAACACAAAAGATAATAATAATCCTTGCATTTGATATAGCGCTTTTCACGTCAGGAGGACGTCCCAAAGCGCTTCACAGAACACACTGTAAAGTGAATTGACTGTATATTTGTGGGCGAACGCAGCAGCCAATTGCGCGCAGCAGTGTCCCACAAACAGTCGTAGATTGAAAATGACCAATTTATTGTTTTTGGTTTTGGAGGGATTATTATTAGGCTCTGTGTGGAGTAAGGAAACTTGCCCAAGGTTTCGCCCTCTGCCTGGAATTGAACTCAGGTCTCTCACTTACAAAGCGAGTGCTCTAACCACTGAGCTACAGGACTCCACTAGATTTGCATAATACTACTGAGAGGAAATATTAATGGAGGACTGACACCATTATTTATTTAAAATGAAGAGCCACACTAGCCTTCGGCTCTTTTAATGCCCTTTATATCACCTTGGGACATCATACAAACAAAAACATAATTAATTACTTCCACGGGCCCTCCAATAGATTGGAATTCCCAAACGCCTAATTATCACTCTGTTAGATTAAAACTTTGAATGCTTCACAATTGGGGCAATTATTTACTCGATGACACAATATGGGAAATTGTGTCATCAAAATATAACAGCAATTAATTGACCTCAATGCATCAGCATCTCTCCAAATACTGGAGTCATGCTTTCAGGCACAAAAATAGTACAGAATAATGATGGAAACTTCCTCTGATGAGTTAAGGCCATGAATTCAAATGAAACAATAATTTTAACAGGATACAGATAAAAGCACATATAGTATTTGTTCAAAATATTGTTCTATTAAAAGTTCATGCATACTGTATGAAGCTTGTATGATTGAACCTTTTCAATGATTTAATATTGCCTATTTGATGCCTTAAAATTTATAAACCTATATTTTTAGGTCTGCAGCATCCCATTACAGTATATTTTATGTTATATTCTACACCTATACCATGGTTGTAATAAAAATATATTATATATACATATAAACAAATCCCCCCCCAACCCCCATCCCACACACACCGGAGGAACTGGATGGCATGATGGACCGAGTATTTCATCCTTTTACATCTGGGATTTGACTCCGAATCCAACCCAGGCTAGTAAGATGAAAACCTCATCTCTCTGTTGGTTGTAAAGGAACCTTTGTGAAATAAACTCAGGCAGCGGGCACGGATCTGCAGCACAAATCTGTACTAAATTGCCAATGTCATGCAGAGAGAACATAAGGATGACTGCTGTGGGAAATGCAAAAGATTAACACTGGTGAAGAAAGTCATGGTGTCCTGAGATTGGGGTTAAAACCACATTGCTGGGACAGCAAAATGTAGCATGTACATCTATGCTGCACTTGACCTTGGAGAGCTTAACGATAACACAAAATGTTAAGTATTCCATTCCTCAGCACAATTTCCCTCACTTTGAACAGCAGAAAAAAAATGTTTTTAGGATAAATAAGTTCCAAACAAAGTAACCCAGCTGCCAGAATTTAGTGTAATAGAAAAAGCTTCAAGAATAATCAGTGTGTCAAACCAGGGTTAATCATCTTTGGTTCACGAACCGAGAAAGTACATAGATTTTGTTACTTCTCAACCCCATTATTTTTCAGGGTTGTATTCTTATGTATATAGGTTGCATTCCTAAACACCTGAGGGAAAGGCATTAATTGAATTCAAAAAGTAATACAAGTCTAGAAACATATTTTTCCTTTTACCAGTTTGGCCTCTGACTGTAAAGGTTGTGGAGAGAGAGGTTCAGTGTTGTTGAGTGGAGGACCTGGGATTCCAGGAACATTAGGCACCATGGTGATAGGCCTGACGATCTGAGGAGTAGAGAAAGGATAATGTAAACAGAAAAGTGACTAGTGGAAAAATTCATTAAAATAAAACCACACACCTCATTAACCATCCTCAAATCATCTTTATCTGGAACCTGTTCAAGTGAGTTTGCTAGTCTAATTGCCAGAGCATCCAACAGAGTCATCATGTGATTAAGTACCTCACTAAAGTGTGAGCTTGCTTATTAGGCTGATCGCTGGCTCTCCTATTGATCTGTGGTTACTGGAAGTACTGTACACTTCTGATTTTTGACTCAGACCAGCCGGCTTCCTATCAGTCAGCTGCCACCATTCTTCCAAGTGTTTCTCCTGCTACAAGCTTGAGAATCTCTTGCGAGAGCAGATGCAGCTGACCCGCCAGCTTCCTGGATCTCTGCATCTGAGCAGGAAGCTGACTGGTCCTCAAGCAATGTCAATGGGGTCTTGATGTTTTACACATAATTTTTTTTTACAAAATATGTCTAGTAGACCCAAGTACGAAGGAAAAGACCTGATTAAGTTAATTTCACATGGAAGCAATCCATTTATGGTTGCTGTGGTTGTTTGAGAGGATCACTGAATCTGATAATCACAAGGAAAATATATAAGTAGTTTGCATCCTGTATCCACGCTCAGTGGAGACCAGAGGTCTTAATGAAGTGCTAATTAGAGAAAGTGGATAAGTTGAATAAAAAGCAAACTGAAAAACATGTCCAAAACCAACATTCTCATAATAAAGCATTTTTTCTCCCACTTACTGGAACTGTTGTAAGAATACGTACAGATGGGTTTGAGAGTGAAGCAGGAATGGTGACAGGCATGGTCTGTCCATTAGGCAGCTGCAGCAAGAGAGGAACTGAACCCGTTACTGGTCTGAAAATAAGAGGAGTAATTTCAGAATTATTGCAAACAAAATTTTAACCATAGATCACTGAAAGTAAACAACTATTCATTATTTTTTTAAAAAGTGAAACAACCCGAAATAAACTTGGTTGCAACTAAAACCAGATGTCAAGATTAGCGCATACCTACCTTATTCTCTAGAATTTCAAATTAATTCTATAATTATTTCATAGAAAGAAAATGATTGCCCAAATTCCCTGTTTTTAATCTGTGACCAGTATCAATCACTTCATGCCATAGCTCTTCGGGTTTTCTAAAATGGAAGTGCATTTTCAGAAGATATGCGATTTTTACAATTTTTTAATTAATATGAGAAAGGAAAAACTTTACTGATTTGGCAGTACAGCCCAATATCCTGTTTGTCTTGTTTATTGTTGCCTCACACTATTTTGACAAGCTGAGCAGTGAGTTAAATAACACTCTGGATCTTTTCCAGTTTTCCCCTGGGCAACTCTTGTTTCCCTCCCCCAGCTCCAAATAGATCATCCTACATCCTCTTTCTCCTTTAGTGTTGAAATCCAAAATCATCACAACAAATCTCTCATACTCTCTCTTTCTCAGCTGGGTTTTACTTTTCAGCATTGAGAAGAATTACTCGAGCTCTTTCTTTGGCCATTGTGGGTGTGGTGACGGATGTTGAAGAGGCAGTAAACACAATCATTGATTGGAAAAAATACAAATAAATCCTGCCTAATCTTCCTGACCCAGATTCAACACTAAGCTGTTAAACACATAGTGCCAAGATCCGTGTCAAAATTCTGGAATCACAGTTTAGTAAAGAAACTAGTCTATATGGGAATGTGCACTGCAGTGGGTCTTTGTCCATTTTTTGTAGATTACTGAAACAGTTACATCTCACCATGTGTTTGGGCTCTTCTGGTAGCAATCATGCGTTTTAGTAGCAGCAGAGGGACAAGTTCTGGAACAAGTTTGTTTTTATAGAAATCCACTGGTATGCTCTGTTCTGTGTGGGCTTTATTGCTTGGGTAACCTCCTCTAGGGGATGGAATAGTTTCGCTCGGTTTTTTTCAACCACCCTTTGAAAACTCTTTATTTTAATTATTTTTTTCTTCTTAAAATGCAAAGTTTTAAAAATCTGAAACTCGCCTTGAATGAACTGTATGGTCAAAGTACCAATGTTTTTTCTTTTACAAAATACAATCATATTCCAAATTCCTCTGAAGTGGTCTATACATGTGGATCTGCACCACACTGCAGGGCATCTAAAAACAAACAAAACATCCAGCAGGGAAAAGTACAACTTTGATGTGCTGAGGTGATTGCATAGCCACGTGGTTTCACCCTAACTATAATAATCCTTGCATTGATATATCGCCTTCCCTGTCGGATTGTCTCAAAGAGCTTCAGAGTTTTTCTGGAAAACAGCACTGGCAGGCAATTTCAGCACAGCATTATCTCACAAAACAAAGCCCAGCCTCCTCAGCTCCCCTCCCTCTGCTAACGATGTGAAACGCTTTGTTGTGAAGATGCTATATAAATGTAAAACGTTGTCGTTGTTGATACAACACCTTTGACGTCAGGATGATCTCTTAAAGCACTTAACAGGATTTACCGTGAAGAGTAGCAACTACTTTGTAGTTAATTTGCTGATGCGTTCATCCAGCAATGTCCGACCATGAAGTGAATGACCAACTTTATCTGGCGATTGCTGGCCAGGACACTGGGAGAAACTCCCTTCTCTTTTCAAATAAGGCATTGAGATCATTAATGTCTACCTAAACAGGCAGATGGATCCTCAGTTCAATGTCTCAGACGAAGGTTTAACGATGTATCCAACAATGCAGCGCTCCCCAGGAATATATCTGAGTGTCAGCGCCTAATCTGCGAGTTCAAAGAGCTGACAAAAGGGCTTGAACGCACAACTTTCTGACTCTGGAGATGAGAGTCCTATCAACTGAACCCAGGCTGACACCTTCTCTAAATGAAGAATTTAACATCAGTTTTTGCTGGTGAACAATTGTACAACTGAAACAAATATTGTATAATGCACAGTTTTTGGCAATACTTACACTATATTTCTGTTTGTGGATGGAACCTGTGTAATGACAGAGGTGGAAGTTGGAGAGGGCAAAGTATGTTGTATGACAACACTAGCTTCAGAATTGGCGAGTAGCAAATTAGGAACTTGTAATGATGCTGAACGAATAGTTGATGTTGACTGTGCCGTCTGTTGCAATGAAGCATCCTGTATAGTCAAAATTACATAATTTGCTGAAACAATATTTACCTGATTATGCACAAGTACATTTTAACAACATGGTAACAAAGCAGAGTTTTTAAAAAGGCCTCAACAGAAGGCAAAAACACTTCTACCCACTTTTTTTTCCCTTCAATAACGACAAGCTTTAATCCATTTTCAAAATCGTATAAAGATGCATTATTTTTTACTTGATAGTTTACAGTAGATTAATCTGAAACCCATTAAATGTCAAGCTTGTAGTCAAAACAAATCAGTTTAGTCATTAAGCCGAATTTCAAGGGAAATTGGTCTAGTCTAACATGAAGACTATTAAGTTACATTACTTAACTGAATTTTAAAAAAAAATGAAAACCCACCAGGTAGTACGGAACATATGGATTCAGCTAATAATGTGAATAGTTAAAAAGGGCTGTAGTGCTTTTAATACTTATCTCATTTTTAAAAAATTATTTCAACTTTTGGCTTGCAGAAAATGTATAGTTTTGGAACGTTTTACTGTCTATGACCACGACTGCCACATGAAACTATACTCACGAGAGTGCACAACTTATTCGTTCATCTGCAAACTGTCAATTACCCTAATCATACTTGATTTTCAATGCACCCTTTATCAGTAGTTGACATATGCCTCAAGGTAAAGAGAATTTGTGTGGACTTAATATTTGTTGCACATATTGGAAATTCCTAGGTCATCTGTATTACAGACTACTACTGCCACACAAAAATATATGTGCATAATATGATCATGACTGTGTGTCCTGAAGATCCAAATGTTTAACTGTCAAGTATTGCATTAGTACCTCTCACAGACCCTAGGAATTTACTGATGAATAGATGACAAGAGGCTCTGATTCTTGCTACCACAAGTTAAGAATTAACAGGAAGTGCCATCCTCAATCCTTGAGGGATCCTGTGAGCATTACTACCTATTCTGAAAAGAATATTTCCAGTACACAAATATAACCGAGCTAAAATCTGCACAATACAACATGAATGAATAATTTAGGGATTTGAGTCAAATACCTGCTACCAGAATTATTTTTAATGTTGGAGGAGGTAGTCTGAGTTCTTGAAGACTAACTGCATTCATAAGTTGGTCCAACACATGACTTAGGTGGTGTATTCTTGCATTGCTCCAGTAAATTTCACAGTTAAGTACTTGTTTAAATGTGACGAACTTGAGATTTCTAGAACTGGAGTAAATCTATTTTTACTACTAAAACACCATGTTTGCCTCACCTATATAAATCATACTTATAACAAGACCATTAAACAGAAAAAACGTGTTACCTGTACTTTGACCTGTTGTAATACTTAATGTCTGCCACTAGATGCAGCTACAGTATTTTAGTTTATTCACTAAAATATGGCAACAGTGTGAAATTGTGTGAAAAAGCAGAAAAGTAAAACCTATTCAAATGAATCTTGTTTACTTCTTGATTTCTGCAATAAAAATAAATGATGAATTTAAAGGTCATTTGTTAAATGCCACATATGTTTAATGCAACAACTATGTGCAAGAATGAGGACAATTAAGACTGAGTTGGATAGCTATTTGTTAGGTCAGGGTATTAAGGGATACGGGGCAAGGGCAGGTAATTGGACCTGCAGTACAGATCAGCCATGATCTTAAGAGAATGGCGGAACAGGCTTGAGAGGCTGAATGGCCTACCCCTGTTCCTATTTTAATTCACCAATTTGAATAGTGGTTAAACATTTTCACTATTCTGTAGGTATCGTTAAAAAAAACTACATCAAGGTATCAAGGCAAATTAGATTAACCAAATGTATCTGAACAACAACTTCCTCTGAAGCCGTTTTCGGTCAAGGTTATTTCTACTAATAAATTCTTTCTGAATCACATTTACATCCAGTGAACACGTGTTTTTTTTTCCCATAACTACTAACGTCAACAACATTTTTAAGCACATAATTTGATCCCTAAGGAATTCTTTCATTTGGGATTTCCCAATGAAACATTTTAATTTCCAGAAGTCACATCTGGGAATTAAGCTGCTTCTAAAGACAGTGTTCTTTGAGAGTTTATGTATTTGATTCTTGCAAAGTACATCCATTTCACCACAGTTCAATCTTAGATAGTATTTGACTATACTTCACTTAGCCTTGATCAGTTTCCTTATCATTTCTACTGTCTTTAGTTTTTGCACTGAGAAACACATATTTGAACTTCACTTTTTTCTCTCTAAATTGAATGCAATCTGTTTTTTTTAAGAGAAATAATTTAACTCCCTTTTTACTATTTTTACTTTTATAGATGACAATTTGAGACCTTTTCGTCATTGGTGGTTGACTCCGGGTGAGGCAGGGGACTGTTCTGATGAGTGGTTTCCACAGTGGCTGTTTCCTCTACTTTAGCTCTAACTGGTGGTAATGCAAGCGGTGACATATCCAAAGGCATCTGTGAATTCAGAAAAAAAAAACAGAAAGTAACAACTTGCATTTTCATGGTGGCTTTAGCATACTGAGGCTCCTTATCACATTGAAGCATCTCGCTCGCCTCCACTGGCTCCCCATCCCCCAGAGGATTGATTTCAAGATCCTCATCCTCACTTACAAGGCCATTCATGGCCTTGCTCCCTCCTACCTCTCCAACCTACTATCCCCCTACCTACCTGCCCGTACCCTCCGTTCCTCTGGCTCCGGTCTGCTCCACGTCCCCCGCCCCAACCGCCCTACTATCGGTGGTCGGGCCTTCAGCCTCTCAGCCCCGAGGCTCTGGAACTCCATCCCCCAGTGCCTTCGCCTTGCTTCCTCCCTTTCCTCCTTCAAGGCCGGTCTCAAAATTGACAGTGCCTTCAGCTCCCCTCTCGACTCTCTTTCACCCTGACCATTTCCCCCTCCTCTCTCCCTCCCTTCCCTCCCTCACCCTGACCATTTCCCTCTTGCTCGGGTCATTTCCCCCTCCTCTCTCCCTCCCTTCCCTCCCCTCACCCTGACCATCCAACTGTGCAGCGCCTTGGGACGTCCTCCTGACGTGAAAGGCGCTCTATAAATGGAATCTTGTTGTTGTTGTTAAATCTCTTCACAGGTAATTACTGTCAGGTGTTTGATAACCTGTTTTGAAAATTAGGCAGTAAATTCCAATATACAGCATGGTGTGACCAATTAATAATAATTCTTGCATTGGATATAGCACTTTTCATGTCTCCTAGACGTCTCAAAGCGCTTCAAATAGACTGTAATGTGAATCGACTGTAATCATTTGTAGGCGAAACGCAGCAGCCAATTGCACACAGCAGTGTCCCACAAACAGTCATGGAATGAAGTGACCAATTTATTATTGTTTTTTCTTGAAGGATTCGTATCAGGCGTGTGGAGTAAGGAAACTTGCCCAACGTTTCACCCTGCTGGAAATCGAACCCAGGTCTCTCGCTTGCAAAGTGAGTACTCTAACCACTGAGCTACAGGACTCCACAATTAATCTGGAGGATTGTTGATCAAGATATCAGGAAAAGCTTCCTTTACTTTACCGTCAACCTGAAGAACAGGCAAATAGAACTTCATCCAAAAGACACCACTGCCAAAAATGCATCACTCCTCCAGCATGCACTACAGTGTCAACCAGAACTATAAACTCAAGTCCCAAAAGGGGCTCGAACCCACAACTCAGAAGGTGAGAATGCTCCCAACTCAGACACGCGAACATTTGGATCAATGATTGCTAACCCACGGCCTATGGAACCGTCAAGAAGCGGCTCCCTGAACCTTAAAGGTTGGCCACCACTGAATTAATTCTAAACATTAACAAAAGTTGACAAACTGAAACATGTTTTCACAGATCCGATAGGCACCTTTTTGATGTCATCTTCTGAAGCCTTCTTAAACTCATGTTCAAATGGACTTGCCAGCTCATTAAATAACCCTACCTCTTCACAATTCTTAAGGAAACGAGTTGGAGTTGGAGTTTGGTCTACGAACATACAAAAAGATAAATCAGCACACCTTTAGATGAAATATTTTAGCACCATTGCCAGTACACAGTACCAAGAGCTAAAATACAATGCTTTGCTATAAATGCATATAAGGAACCAAAATAAATGGTCCTTATAACACAAAAGGAACTCTTCTACAATTAAGTTTCACCAAAGTTGCCTTATCATAGTTCTAAATACTTAGACGGTATTGTAATACTATGGATTCTGCTTATATTGTAGCAACAAATTATTAACTGATTAGTATCAGTCCTGAATATTTACCCTTATGATGATGGAATTTCCATATTAAGTTATAAGGATTATTATTATTATTTGAAAATAAATTTCCATACAATTTACTAGTTGTAAATCTTAGGCCCCATGAGAAGCATCTATATGTTATAACATCTATATCGGATCATCATTTTGGAGCTTATGATATAGGGCATGGTGGAAAATAAATGGATACTAACCAGCCACTATGACACTGTCATTACGTGCTGGACCAAACTTTAATGTCATCTCATGTTTGTGCTTGTGAACAGCCAAGTGATCCTCATTTGTGAAGCGCTGAAACAAGTTTCATTTATTCAGAGAGCAATCCACACAAAACATTCAATAAAATCCTACATTTACTTAATCATTTAAAACGTTAAACACATTACACGTTCTTCTTTTACAGGCTTTAGTCTTAACGGTGACAGTTTAACAGGGTGATTTTGACACAAAACAACTTTTATCAAAATGGTATAAAATTATTCGTCCACCTTCAAAACCACCCCAATGGGATGTTTTGGTTTGCTACACCAAATGTGTGGTCACTCAATTAACTACCAATTAAATACTACGAATTGAGTAATTCTGTGTTGTGAGCTTCTTCCCAATAAGACAAGGGTGGAGACATAAAATAATTCACGTCACTTTGAGTCTTTAGTTATCAGACAGACCATTTTTATCCCATTGGTTTGTGCTGAATTGAAAGCTAAGTTTCAAAGATAGGAAGACAATATTCCATCCCCCGTGACAAACGGATCTCTCTTATTTGTTATTAAATATTTTTGTTGTTATAATTTAGAGTGACACATACATTATGCGTGCAGAAGTAAAATACAATGAAAAAAGAAAACAAAATGGTAAACATCCACCACCCATGAAACTTGTGTGGGATAGCTTCATAAGATTGGCATTATCTTATGATCTGTCTACATAGGATTAAAGATTAAAAAAACCTTAACTACCTGGCCACATCCAGGAGCGGTGCATACAAAAGGTCTGTCATCACTCATGTTCAGTGGATCCTCGTTTCACCTGTATTAACAATTCAATACATAAGTCTTTTTGTAATATAAACCATTTGCAATTTGAAATAACAGACGCACCATCCGAATGTGACAATATATAACACTTTTGTGTGACTGACTCACAGTAGTTAGGAAATGGACTGAAACTGTCCAAATCCACTCGAAAATTTGTAGGGTCCTCAGTGCCAGCAAGAGGAAAAGTTGTGTCAAGTCAGTCTGGTCTGAATGCAAGTCCCAAATGTAAAAACACATTCTAACCCACTATGCAAAGCCTTGCAATTTCTAAAGAGTCTAAGGGGTGTCAGTTGCCAGTACTATTTTTTTTGCTGGATAGCGTTCAGAATTGTTTTCCTACCTAATCCATAGTTATGTGGCCAACTGTAGAAAATCTATCACTTTTCTGGCTGTGATCTGCTTAGTCAGCATAAAGTCAGCACTGCTGTATATGGCGTATTTACTCAGTCAAATAAAATCCAGATGAATGTGCTGTATGCATATGATTAGATCTGCATGATAATGAAGTCATTTTCTCCAACTCTTCCCTTCCCTGAAGTTGTTTCGACTCCTATTGAGGTACGATTTCATGGCTATTCGTACATTTTTGGTCTCAACATGATATTGACCAATAAATCTCAACATGATATTTACAAATATGAAAGAAAAGAACTGAATGCAATCCTAACCTCATGCAATTTTTTGGAGGTCAGCTGGGTGTCTGACCCTTGTAAAAACCTTCATTCATGCTCAACAAAACTAAACCAGAGTTCCACATATACACTTTTACAGAGATTGGCCTGTGTCTGGAAAGGAATGCACGTTCTCCCGGAAGGGACGCATCTTACTTAACTAATTCTGGAGAATATTAGGCACAGGTTGGCAAGACCGAAGGCTTGGGAACCCCGGTGGGATACCACTGGAGTTTATCCAACTAAAATTGCATAGCTTGCCAGATAGCTCACTGGACTATCTGGCAAGCTTCCTGCTGCTTGTCTAGCTAGGACACTTCAGCAGAGGTCATTGGATGTGAGAACTCAGAGTAATTTTCCCTCTGTAACCTGAAGTGCTGAGGGCAATTATAGAGCTCTTCCCATTAAGTAAATGTAAAGGTGACTCAAATTTTCACTACCTTCCTGTGGGGAAGCACTCAGCTTGCACTTACCACCTCTCAACAGCAGAATGGCTTAGATCAGGAAGTCAGTGTAGGGAGTAATTACAAGCATCAACTAGTATTTTCTCACACTGTTAAATAGATTGTTAGGGCATCAATATCCCGCACCACCATACATTGTATAACATATTGAATGTTAAATGCATGGCATGCAAGCTTATAACATAAAAAGAATGCAATATATACACACACACATGGACCCATTTTTGTATGTAGCAGCAAATTGTAACTTTTCCTTTTCTTTTGAACTATACATTTTTCTGATAGGAAGACATTAAGAAAATAGGTTGTGGTCATAAGAGGACATGGTGTGTTCTAATTAATGTGCTAATAATTGGAACTAATGGAAGACCAAATGGAGGTCTTACTACCTCAACATTTGACATCCAATGTTATTTGTGACAAGCGACAGAAGTTTATGTTGCACTATTGAGACTGCAAGGTCAACCATCTAACATATTGGACCTTTTGTTTTGTCCAGTTCAATATACAGTATCAGGATAAGTTATGTATCATCAATAGCAAGTTACTTCTACACTAAATACTTAGGGAGAAATTGTTAACATACAAATTACATTTCAAGACAAGAAATCTGTCTATTTTAAATCAATTTCTTTGTTAAAATATTGAAGCCATGTCAGCCAGATAAGGTAACACTGAAGTCACAGCAAATCTTGTTTTCTTCTCTCCTTTCAGCAAGTCTGTCAGTTCTTTGTTTAAAAACAAACAAACTCCTGATATATTATCTTGTACTGCATTCTGGCCAAAAATTAGGATGTCCCGACAATATACAATGTTATGTTATGCAGTTATATACACTACACATACATCAAATTAGGTCAAATAAAATAACATCCACTGATTCTTGCTAGCTGACAATTTGCTGAACATTTCAGTTTATTAATGATGGCTGTGTTATTACAGGGAGGGTTTATATGTACTACTGTTGTACCACAGATTGAGGTGATTCTCTATGTTTCACAAGTGGTTGTGCATAAATGCTGCATTCCATGGCAGTTTCAGATGCTCTCATCTTATAAAGAATAGCTTTAAAGGTCAGATAACTGTAGTTCTTGTGCACTTAATAAGATACCCCATTATGCAATTTTAAAGGAATTCACTGGGACAAGACCTTGTATTCATGTCACGGAAACGTCACACTTTGAAACTATGGTAAAGATAATTTTGCGCAAACACAAGACCAATAACTTTCAGCTAATGTGTAAAACAAAATCAAGAAAGTAATATACTTTAGTGACTTAAAAAAGGATACCATTAGCCTAAAGTCTTGTGTTGGAGCATTTGCTGGAGCTTAATAATTTGATTGAACAGATGAAAGGAATACTCGGTTTATTTCTTCCAAATAATAATAATAATCCTTGCATTTGATATAGCGCTTTTCACGTCGGGATGACGTCCCAAAGCGCTTCACAGAACACACTGTAAAGTGAATTGACTGTATATTTGTGGGCGAACGCGGCAGCCAATTGAGCACAGCAATTTCCACAAACAGTCGTAGATTGAAAATGACCAATTTATTATTGTTTTTGGTTTTGGAGGGATTATTATTAGGCTCTGTGTGGAGTAAGGAAACTTGCCCGAGGTTTCGCCCTCTGCCTGGAATTGAACTCAGGTCTCTCACTTGCAAAAGCGAGTGCTCTAACCACTGAGCTACAGGACTCCACAAAGGTAGTGCTTTAAAACCACTCTGGTTGCACCACGCACCAATTTCTCAGACTGTGGGTGGGCTAAGGGTTCATTCTATTCATACAGACTAGCAATGCAAGTTATACATTCCTGATCTTCTAGATTGCTGATGTCTGGAGGCCAGAATAAACCCAGATGGTACTTTCAAACAACTGCATGTGAATGCAACCCAAAGTGGAAACAGGGTGAATTCCACAGCATTGTAGCCCATAGGATAATACATGTCAGAATCATGCACTGACTTTTATTACCTGTGCCCACTCTCCATTATTTGAATCCCTCCAAAAACAATAATAAATTGGTCATTTTCAATCTACGACTGTTTGTGGGACATTGCTGTGCGCAATTGGCTGCCGCGTTCGCCCACAAATATACAGTCAATTCACTTTACAGTGTGTTCTGTGAAGCGCTTTGGGACGTCCTCCCGACGTGAAAAGCGCTATATCAAATGCAAGGATTATTATTATTATTATTATTATTAATGGGTCCTATTTTCCATACAGCTTTTTTGACTGGTTACACAGGCGTGGATTTCTCAACCTTTACACAATAAAAACACTTTGTGCATAACTGATAGAATAGACACTTGATGTTGGCAACATATACTAGTTACTTTTTTTGTCTTCGTGTCTGCTAGACTGAGAGAAAAAAATACCATAACCAGCAATAAGTATCAAATAAGTATTGACTCAAAAGATTAAGTAATTTCATCAATTTCAATGTCACAAGAGATGTTCAGCTGAAGAAGCCCCTCCTGACAAACAATGATAAGCAACATGTCTGAATATCAAACGTTCTATCAAAAAGCCTGGTAGAATTGTACTCATGGACACAGCAAAATAGACCCCGATGCTTGGGAGTAATTTTTCACTTAATTACTCGAGTACTTCTCTCCACATTTCTTTACAAGAGAAATATTTCCTTACAAGAATGTTTAGCACTTTGTTTTTGACAAACATTTGGCACAATAAATCAAGATCCACTATGACTACCAGTTGGCAGTACCTATTACCAACTATTAAATAGTTACTTCTTCCTTTGCAAAAGACAATTTCCACTTTTAAGTGGTTTCTAACATTACTATATCTGAACGGCCAGAACTATCCAACAAGTCACAGAAGTTAATTCATCTACTTGATCGAAACCTGTGAGAGCAAAATAAAAAAAACACAGGCCATTTAATACTTTTAAATGCAAACTTTTTTTTGATCAGCAAAGTGTCATGTGGAAACCCATCACCATGCCTGAGTATTCAAACCAGACTGAGTTTCATATATGTATGCCACCTGTACAAGGAAATATCCATGTGTCTAGAATAGAATTCACACTCTCTCCCGAGAGGAACATACCTTGCTTAATTCCAGAGTATATTTTGGTACATGCTGGCAAGAGACAAGGCTTAGGATCCCTAGATTGTGTGTTGGGATATTGCTACAGTTTGACTAGCTAAAATTACACAGCTTGTCATCAAGAGCACTTTCTAGCAAGCTTCCTGCTGCTTGTTCAGTTAGGACTTAAATTAAAATACACTAAATCTTTATTTGCATAGTGACTTTCCTTCTTTAAAGGAGGTAAGCGGGAGTCTCCTTGAAGTTGGACTGGCTGCAAGGTGATATGTTACGTCGAGCCTACCCATTACGGCTTTGGTCTGTTTACAAGAGTCGATTAGGAAGAATCCCTGCCCTTGATGTCTCCAAGTCCCGTCAAACAACCAAGATGGCTTGTCTGTCATCAGCATTGCCCTGGTGGTCTGTGGACATGTCTGGATCAGGAACCAGACTACTGAGACTGCTGCAGAGTTGATTCGACATGTTACCAAACAAGTCAACAACCACAAGTCACCTAACTGCCAGCCCAGCTTCAAAGAGACCCGGCTTACCTCCCTCCACAAAAGACACCCACTGTGCAAACAACGATATAGTGCATAGTGTATAGGAGTACTGAGAGGAAAAAGATCATATGAAGCCTGTTTTCAACAAACTATTTTTCTCTATAAAAGCACCTTTTAGTTTCTATTGTATTGACTATCCACCATATTTATTGTCAGCTATACTTGGCCTAGACCCTTAATTTAAATCATGATATAGGATTTCAGTCACAGTAGTGCATTCATTTGAATCATAACGATATCTCAGAGATGTTAAGTTGGTTAGTGTGGGCATTAGGAAACATATTTAAAAATAATTAATTTATACTTCCTGGAGAACATAAAATCATTCCAGTTTGGATGCTTTCGTGCAGAGCCAATATATATATATATATATACCCAACAGCAAAAGCTAAGGAATTTCCTAAGAAACAGCTACAATGCTGTACTTACAATCTTACTATTGATATGGCATTCCACGGGGTACAAATAATGGTCTTAACTCGTTTGGGCAATGGGTGTGGGGTGTGGGGAGGAGTACCGCCCGTCCGCCCTCGCGAAACCTCTCACGTATAACGCTCCCATCGGTCGCTGCAGTCGAATGATAACAACCCTTTGCCTTTGATTAGAGCGCCTTCGCGCTTCTTCGAGGCGTCTCGAAGCGCTTCACAGGATACCACCGCCCAAGTGCGGTGAGCGTAGGCTTTGCGACCGGTTGCGCCCAGCGACGCCTCCAGGAGAGTGAGATGCTCACAGTCTGCGCCGCCGCTGCTGCCGCCGCCGCCGCCGCTGCCTAGGAAACGGGGACACAGGCCGGGCCCGGCTTCCCGCTCAGTCAGGCCGCTCATCCCGTACAGACTGATGTACTCGCCGGTGTGTACGTGAAGCGATCACTCTCTCTCTCTCTCTCTCTCACACACACACACCCTCTTTCTCGTCAGTCGAGCCGAACCCACAACAGCAACCGAGAGCGTCGCCATGTTAACGTGTAAACGCCCGCGAACACACCCACCTCCGGGGCCCTGTGCCCGCCGCCCGATTCGGTGCTGATGTTTTGATACCGGGGCCGCCGGCCGCGACAATCATTATCTATCTCTCTCTCTCACTCACTCACTCACTCACCCCTCCCCCGAGGCCGCGGCTCTCGCCCTTTCACGTTGTTTACAAATTTACCACCAGGGCGACTTCTCACCGAGGGCCAATCGCACGGGATCCTGGCCCACAACTCGCGAGATCTCGCCAGGCTCGGCTCGGCTCGGCTCCGCCTCCTTCCTCTCCCTCTCTCTCGCCACTCCACTCCACTCCCGACCTCTGCGTCATCACATCACGTGGTGCTGCTCCCCCCCCACCCTCTCTCGGGCACTCACGTCCTCTGCGTCATCACATCACGTGGTGCTGCTCCCCCCCCCCCACCCCCACACTCACCCTCTCGCGGGCACTCACGTCCTCTGCGTCATCACATCACGTGGTGCCAGCCAGCCAGCCCCCTCTTCCCCCCCCCTCCCCCGGGACACCCCGTACCGCGGGACCAGTGCGCATGCGCGCGCCGCTCCCGGCCGTGTGTTGTTTGGTAGAAGTCTCTTTGCGATTCGTGGACTTTTTTTTCCCTCTCTTCTCTGTTGTGGGTAAAACTACGCGACTGTAATACATATATATAGATTTTTTTTTGAAAAAAAACCTGGTACTTTGGCTCTTCTAACTGTTGTGCCTCGATGTCAGCGCTGATGCCGTCCCTGTCCTGACTGACATCGAGTCGCAGTAACTTCCTGCAGCAGCTGAAAGTCAAGGCAATAGGAGTAATGGGTCCATGAATCAGGTGAACGAACCCCCACTCCCCACCCACGGAAGGGATTTCTTTTTAAAAGTTAAGCTGTTTTTTTTTCTTTCCCCTCTCCCCTTCCCCAATGAGTAGATGACTTGTGGTGGAATATATGGGGTGTACATCAAGGGAAGAGATTAGTTTTGGGGAGGGGGAATGTCATGTAGTTAAATGGATATAAATGGAAAGTGATTAAAAATGAGGCCTTGATTAAGCTGTGTTATTCCCCCCCCCCCCCTAGTTGGACGAAGCTTCCTGATTTATATTCTGGGTGGAAACAATGTTCTTGGGTGAAATAAATCTCTCCAGTTGTGCTTCTGTTCAGGACCCTTGTAGGAACCGTGTGCCATTGTTTTGGAGAGCTTATTGCTTGAAGCAGCTCTGCGTGGAGGGGAAGGAAGGAAGGAAGTAAGTAAGTAAAACAAAGGCAAATGTTAAAAAGGTTTTGAAGCCAGGAGTTTTGACGTTAGTTGGGTTTCAATGAACTGATTTGATCATACCAAAAGTCTTGTAGTTTCTGACTACAATCGCCAGCTACTGAGGTTAATGCAGAAGTCACAACAACTCGAATTTAATTGTCTCACCCTGGAGGCCAAAATGACAGTTTTTTTTCTAGGATTTACTGTAACAATAATCAAGAGGTTGGTAATGTATTTTTTTTTCCAACACAAAATTGTGGGAGTTGCTGCAACTATAATTTTACTGTGACTGCACTATTAGAAATGCTTCTGTTTCACGCAATGCTTTGTAACATAAAACGAAATCGATTAAAACTTAAATTGTAACCTGTGTGTGACCTTGTGTCTCAATGCAGGACCTCAGTGACCGAAGAGGCACTAAATGAAAAAATTGTTGGATTTTTAACAAATGCAGCACAAAATTACAATTGTTCTATTAAAACCATGCTGTGCCAGAGCGGTAAGCTGTATGTTTATGGAAACACATATTACACCTCCCACTCCCAAATGCTATCTTAATAATTTAACAAAATCATATTATATTCCTGATTTTGTTCTGTTTCATAAGTATTGGCTTGCAAATGAACAAAATCTGCCTTTTGAACAACAACTGGAGTACACTAGGTTAACTTATGCTGACTAGATTTTTTATATGTGAACAAATTGTTTCTAAAGGTAATAGAATTTTGTCTGGTGTGCATTTAGCTATCTATACTGTTAACGAACACTGTTAACTTTGTTCCGTCATGTTCAAAAATTCATTAAACTCAAAAGTGAATCATGTGAAGAAATGAATTAATTGTGTCTGCTAAACCTTAATTTTTTTTACCTACATGCAGCATTGGTGGATTTTTTTCTTCTGATTTTTGTTGAATAATAGATGATTTTTTAAAAATTGTATTGAAAGCACTATCGACGGTACCTCTTAAGGTTAGGATTGACCAGCCATCTGGAAGTTGGCCATTTTTGTGTAGTCAGAATAGATTCAGTAGAAATAGATTTTTAATCAACACAAATGTGTTTGTTTTAGAGTGCTGAACATAGCAAAAAGGGAGAGGGACGGGAGAGAGGGAATATAAGCGGGGTCGTCTTGGAGTTTGAACTGGCTCCAAGGTGACGTGCTTAGTAATAGAATGTAGGAATTGAATCAACCCTCTGTGGCAGTCTCGGTAGCCTGATTCATAAGCTAAGTGGGTCCACAGTTCTTCAGAGCACCGCTGATAACAGATCAGCCAACCTAGCTCATTGGTAGGACTTGGAGGACCTTCACTTCCAGGCACTGCATGACTTGGGAGCAAAAAAGGAATTTCATACTGACCAAAAAATGAACTGTATTTGGCAATAAAAGTATTTTGATTGACTAATATCACCTTTCATATTCTGTTGATCCCACAACTTGCCCACAAAAAAAGTTGGATTTATCAAAAGATTGCCATTAGCATCCACAAGACTGGACATATAGCTGCCATACCTGCAGTAGCACTGTGACTCAGTTGCACTTCCTGCAGCCAGTTCACATCTCTAATTTCATGGTTCAGTCACACCGATGAATACTAATTGCATTTATATCATGCCACTCATCATTCAAGCACAATAGTCCCCAAATAGTAACTTGCTCTCCCAAATCATTCTTCCTAATATTTCAGAAATAGAGAATAAAGACAAAAAGAAATAATTTCTGATACACTGATTAAGAATTGTGTCCACAACAGTGGAAATTTAATGCCATTTAATAGACATACCATCTTTGTTTGGTAAGCTACTGGGAAATACTTTAGTTGAGAATTGACATTCAGATTTCCAATAAATTTTCTGATATGTCATTAGTTTTACTACATCCAATACTGGAGTACCAACACATAGCACACCAGAACGGGGAGATCCACATATGACCCCCTAATCTGCTGAGTTCTTGGTCTCAGTTGTGCTGATGTATGTGGCTAAGCAAATCCAATAGAAGGAGATGGTGAAAGGAAGAAAGGTATCAACTCCAGAGTTCTCTTGCACAGCTCCTAGTGGTCAAATGAGTATAGTACTGCCAGAGGTCAAGGAGCAGAACATCATAATTTCTGCTTATGTGAGGAAAGATAAATACTGTACTTGTTTTATTTAGACCAACACCCCAGCTTGTTTTCATACTATAGTGATATGTACCTGATTGCTTTTTGATTCCCATTTGCAAATAGGCAACACAGATTTTGTTTTTTAAAAAAAGACACATTTCAATATATAAGAACAGGAACCTTATTGAAGGAAATTATTGTAAAAACAACTTGAAGGAAAGCTGGCAGCTGCTATATTTTTGACACTGAATTTGGCCTAACTTCTCTGCTGAAGGCGCCTCCACGTTTAGAATATATAAATCTCAAAATACTGCAGTATTTTTATTTCAATTGAATACATATTGGATTTTTATAGTTGTCAGAGAGCTAACTTGCCAAACTGTTTGTATTAAATCAGAATAACTGATTGTTTTTAACGAGGAATAAGGTATTAGTTCTCTTTTCTTGGCTTCCTGTAGTTCATAATATGCAGTATTTCCCCAAATATAATAGACAAATATTTTCATTATACTTGTTGGGGCTAATAGCAGACACTCTTGTCCATTTCATAAAATATTCAGTTGAACCTGCTGTCAACAACAAAATTACATTTGTAAAGTGCCTTTCACGTCAGGAGAACGTCCCAAGGTACTGAACAGTCAAGGATCAAGACCCGAGCATGGGGTTGCAGGGTTGAGGTCGAGCATGAGAGAAGGCAGAGAGGTAGGAGGGTGGCTGAAGGCATGGTCGAAAAGGAGGGTCTTGAGTTGTGCCTTGAAGGAAGCAAGGAAGGGAGCAAGGTGAAGGGATTGTCGGTTGGAGGCTGACCTTGTCACACTCACCCGATTGGGGAGGCCGACGAGGGAGTTTCCGTAGTCGAGAGCCTTGAGGTGACGAATGCGTGTATGAGGGTTTCGGCAGCCTGAGGGGTGAGGCAGTGGCAGAGTGAAGCCAAATAACTGAAGAAATATATGCAGAAGTTAAATTTTTCGCTGAACAAGAAGATTCCCTGCCCTCAGTAACTGGTCTGCCCTTTCACGTCCTACTGATGGGCCAGGCTGGCTGTGCTGTCATCAACAGTGCCTTGGAAGTACTGCAGACTCGCCTGGCCGTGACTGCTACAGAGGACCGGCTCGATTCCGAAATTCCTTTGCCAAACATGTCACCTTGGAGCCAGTTCAACTCCAAGGAGACCCGGCTTACCCCCCTCCCCCCCCTCCTTGAGGGATAGTCACTAGTCGGTTGTTTGATAAACAACAAGTGCAGGTTTGAGCTCTCACCAGGGGATTTGTAGGTACTCGGAGCTCCCTGCAAGCTTCAGGTAGACAACACAGTTCAGCAGGCAATGTGTGAGAGCATTACCAGCTTCTTCTTGCCTGTAGACAGGGGGAAGAGGAGGAGGAGTCTGCACAGGGGAGGAGGGGTCTGTACAGGGGAGGAGGAGGAGGGGTCTGTACAGGGGAGGAGGAGGGGTCTGTACAGGGGAGGAGGAGGAGTCTACAGGGCAGGAGTCTACAGGGCAGGAGTCTGTACAGGGGCGGGGTCTGTACAGGGGAGGAGGGGTCTGTACAGGGGGAGGGGTCTGTGTACAGGGGGGCGGGGTCTGTGTACAGGGAGGCGGGGTCTGTGTACAGGGAGGCGGGGTTCTGTGTACAGGGGAGGGGGTCTGTGTACAGGGGGAGGGGGTCTGTCTGTACAGGGGGAGGGGTCTGTGTACAGGGGGAGGGGTCTGTGTACAGGGGGAGGGGTCTGTACAGGGGGAGGAGTCTGTGTACAGGGGAGGCGGGGTCTGTACAGGGGAGGCGGGGTCTGTACAGGGGAGGCGGGGTCTGTACAGGGGAGGCGGGGTCTGTACAGGGGAGGCGGGGTCTGTACAGGGGAGGCGGGGTCTGTGCACAGGGGAGGCGGGGTCTGTGCACAGGGGAGGCGGGGTCTGTGCACAGGGGAGGCGGGGTCTGTGCACAGGGGAGGCGGGGTCTGTGCACAGGGGGCGGGGTCTGTGCACAGGGGGCGGGGTCTGTGCACAGGGGGCGGGGTCTGTGCACAGGGGGCGGGGTCTGTGCACAGGGAGGCGGGGTCTGCACAGGGGGAGGAGTTGGCGCCGCCGCTCGAGCCGTTTCTATAGTGAGCGCACATGCTTATTTTGGTCACGTGGCCGGCGGGCGGGCGGGCGGACCGGCCCTGAGGTGAATGTCGAGGCGGCTGCTCGCGCCTCCTGTCGCCGGGTCCGTCCGCGGCTGAGATGCTTCGCCGCCGTTTATTAACGTTGAAACGCTGAAGTGCGGGTCGCCATGAGGGTACCGGACTGAGGAGGGGGGGAGTGTGTGTGTGTGTGTGTGAGAGAGAGAGAGAAAAAGGCGAGAGCGCGGAGGGAGGGCCCGCAGGCGGGTGGGCGGGTGTGACAAGGTCGGCGGCCTGAGCACCCGGAGGGAGGGAGGGAGGGAGGGAGGCCGGTGCTGAGCTGAGCTCCGGTGCCCGGAGGTGCCACGGGTTATCATGACCGGCTTAGCCGCCGCGTCCTTCTTCTCCAACGCCTGCAGTTTCGGCGGTTGCGGCCTCACCTTTAACACTCTGGCGGAGCTGATCGAACACATCGAAGACAGCCACATAGGTAGGTGGGTGGTGGGTGGGTGCCGGCACGCGAGCTGTCACTCACGTTGGAGCCGGGCCGGGCCTAGGAGCCGCTTACCTGTCCTCGCTCTCGGCCCTCCTCGTGACCGACTCGGTCGCCTCTGGATGCAGTCGGTGTCTGTGTGTGTGTGTGTCTGTCTGTCTGTGTCTGTGTGTGTCTGTGTGTGTTGGTGTGTGTCTGTGTGTGTTGGTGTGTGTCTGTGTGTGTGTGTGTCTGCCTGTGTGTCTGTCTGTGTGTGTGTCTGTGTGTGTGTCTGTGTGTGTTGGTGTGTGTGTGTGTC